TTGTCTTGCAGCTGGGGAGTGGTTGCATTGTGCACTATATAAAGAGCAGACTGGAGCTATATAATGATTTGCATACCATTTTCATAATTTGCTCATCACATTCAGGAATATAACAGATTGCAGACAGTAATTAGTAGACATAAACGGAACATGGCCGGCCAGGTTGGGGATACGTGGCACTACAATCCACACATCTGGAGAGCACCAGGATGAAGAAGGTTGTTCAATTACACTGGAATATATGGCAGTGTGGACTCAGATAACCCAGTTCAAAGCAGATATTGTGGAATTTCCTGCCTTGAAGGCTTCCACGGCCAAAATCATTGGTTTGCTGTGAGTTTTCCAGGATGTATGGCCACTTTGATTAGCATTGAATGGCCTTGCAGCTTCAAAGCCTGGCTGCTTCCTGTCTGGCCAATTGCAACATACACAAGTGCCTCAAACAGACAAGAGTTCTTTCTCCCACCCTGGACATTCCACAGATATATAAACCCCACTTGCCTAGTTTCCAACAGACCTCACAACCTCTGAGGAAGCCTGTCATAGATGTGGGCAAAAGGTCAGGAGAAAATGCTTCTGGAACATACAGCCCTGTAAACTCACAACAACCCTATAAGTTGGATGTTTGTAACTCCGATTGCCTGTCGGACTGCCTGTACTGGCATATCACAATTATTTACCTTTTTCTTTCTTTCAAAGTAACAGGAGCAGGAGGGGAAATTCACTAGGAAACTGTATTCTGAACGAGGTTTAAAGCTTTCTAGGCTACTTTTAAAAAACATTTGAAGTTAAGAGGGACAATTTGATGTGTTGGCTGAAGTCCTTCACCACTAGATGGAGGTGTTTCCAAGAATGTATTGGAAAATAAAGTCCTGGAATAAGGGATTATAATTATTATTGTTGTTATTATTATTATTATTTGATACACAACAAGATTAGTACATAGCAAACAAGATGCTAGCTGTTGTATTGGATCATACATTGGATACTTCCCAAGTGTCTAGGACTATAGTATGTATCAGCGAATAACGCATGAAGAACCGAGTAGGATGGCCTTTAGCAGCTGACAGATGGTGATTTTGTCAGCGCTGATTGTTTTCAAGTGCTGGCCAAGGTCTTTCGGCATTGCACCCAGTGTGCCGGTCACTACTGGGACCACCTTTACTGGCTTTTGCCAGTTTTTGCAGTTTGATACTTAAATTCTCATAGTATTATTATATTTATTTATGCCCCGCTTTATCTCCTCAAAGGGGATTCAAAGCAGCTTGACATAAAAGGATTAGTATATAATTTAAAATATATAAAAATGCAAGCATTGAAATAGAATTAAACACATACTGTACTAAAAAAATTAAGTGAAAACCCATTTAAAGAACTCCCAAACTAGATCTTAAACACCTTCATCTTTGAATATCTCTCCCCTTATTTTCCCTTTTGCTTTTCAGTGACTAGGAACCTTTTCACTGCCTTGAGATAACATGCTTTTGGGAAAGGCTGTCTATAACCTGATATTTAACAAGTTTGCCCCTTATATTAAACAAGGGACAAGGATCCACAAAGGCAGGCTTGTAAAGAAAGCAGTAAATAATGCAGTAAAATAAAACACAAGCAATCATTCCCTGGATTGACAAACCCAGGGCTCTTCCACACATCCATATAACCCAGAACATCAAGGCAGGTGATCCACAATATCTGCTTTGAATTGGGTTATCTGAGTCCACACTCCATATATTCCAATTCAGATAATGTGGTATTTTCTGCCCTGATATTCTGGGATAAATGGCTATGTGGAAGGGCCCTTGCAGTATCTGCTTTGAACTGGGTTATCCGAGTCCACACTGCCAGTTCAAAGCAGATATTGTGAGATTTTATACAGCTGTGTGGAAGGGACCTCTGAAGATACTTTTAATGTGCAGTACACATTTCAATGTGCAATATACTCTGCTGCTGAGTATGCATGCCCAGTGTGGAACACATCTCACCACACTAAAACAGTGGATGTGGCTCTTAATGAGACATGCCGCATTATCACGGGGTGTTTGTGCCCTACACCACTGGAGAAATTACACTGTTTAGTCGGTATTGCACCACCTGACTTCTGCTGGGAAGTAGCATCCAATAGTGAAAGGACCAAGGCAGAGACATCTCCAGCCCACTCCCTGTTTGGGTATCAGCCAGCATGTCAACGACTTAAATCAAAAAATAGTTTTCTAAGATCTACAGAGACAGTCGCTGGAACACCTCAGCAAGCAAGAGTCCAAAAGTGGCAGGCTCAAACCCAGAACCTCAACTGATGGCTGATACCAAATGAGAGACTCCCCCCTGGGCACACAGAAGACTGGGTGACTTGGAAGGCGCTGAACAGACTGCGCTCTGGCACCACAAGATGCAGAGCCAACCTTCAGAAATGGGGCCACAAAGTGGAATCCACGACATGCGAGTGTGGAGATGAGCAAACCACTGACCACCTGCTGCAATGCAACCTGAGCCCTGCCACATGCACAATGGAGGACCTTCTTGCGGCAACACCAGAGGCACTCCAAGTGGCCAGATACTGGTCAAAGGACATTTAATCAACTACCAAGCTTGCAAACTTTGTGCTTTGTTTGTTTGTTTGTTAAAAAATGCAATACAACTGTTTGGTTTGCTCCTGACACAATAAATAAATTATGTGCAGTACAGTATATACATATATCATGTTATCTATATAAATAAAAATGTAATGTTCGTTTGTGGGATTAACAGAACTCCAAAACTACTGGATGAATTGACACCACATTTGGACACAAGACACCTAACAGCCCAATGTATGTCCTTCACTCAGAAAAAGAGTGGAAGAAACTTAAAAAGCCAAAAAAACAAATAAATACACACATATATGCATATATACGCACAAAACAGACACAGAAAGGAAGGAAGAGAGAGGAGGAAGAAGAAGGGTAGAGAAGAAGGAAGGAAGGAAGGAAGGAAGGAAGGAGGGAGAAAGGGAAAGGAGGGGGAAGGAGAAAGAGGGAAAGAAAGGTAGAGAAGGAAGGAAAAGGAGAGAAGGAAGAAGGAAGGAAAAGGAGAGAGAAGGAGGGAGAGAAAGAGAGAAGGAGAGAAGAAGGAAAAAAAGAAGGGTAGAGAAGGAAAGGAGAGAAGGAGGGAGGAGAAAGAAGGGAAGGAGAGAGATTAAATAAAGTGAAAGAGGGAAGGAAGAAGGAAGGAAAGAGAAAGAGGGAAGGAAGGAAAGAGACAAGGAAGGATGGAACCAAAGAGCAAAGGAAGCGAGAAAAGAAACAGGCAGAGAAGGAATAAAGAAGAAGGGAAAGAAAAAGTGGGAAGGAAGGAAGGAGAGAAAGAAAGAGGGAAGGTTGGCCACAACAACGCGTGGCGGGTACAGCTAGTATGTGTGTATATATATATATATATGTGTGTGTGTGTGTGTGTGTGTATACATATACTTGTGGCCAACCTTCCCTCTCTCTTTCTCTCCTTCCTTCTTTCTTTCTATATATATATATATATATATATATATAGAGAGAGAGAGAGAGAGAGAGAGAGAGAAAGAATATATATATATATATATATATTGTTGTTGTTCATTCGTTCAGTCGTCTCCGACTCTTCGTGACCTCATGGACCAGCCCACGCCAGAGCTCCCTGTCGGCCGTCACCACCCCCAGCTCCTTCAAGGTCAGTCCAGTCACTTCAAGGATGCCATCCATCCATCTTGCCCTTGGTTGGCCCTCTTCCTTTTGCCTTCCACTTTCCCCAGCATAATTGTCTTCTCTAGGCTTTCCTGTCTCCTCATGATGTGGCCAAAGTACTTCAGCTTTGTCTCTAGTATCCTTCCCTCCAATGAGCAGTCGGGCTTTATTTCCTGGAGGATGGACTGGTTGGATCTTCTCGCAGTCCAAGGCACTCTCAGAACTTTCCTCCAACACCACAGCTCAAAAGCATTGATCTTCCTTCGCTCAGCCTTCCCTAAGGTCCAGCTCTTACATCCGTAGGTTACTACAGGGAATACTATGGCTTTGACTAGGCGGATCTTTGTTGCCAGTCTGATGTCTCTGCTCTTTACTATTTTATCGAGACTGGACATTGCTTTCCTCCCAAGAAGTAAGCGTCATTATGATTTCCTGGCTACAGTCTGCATCTGCAGTAATCTTTGCACCTAGAAATACAAAGTCTGTCATGGCCTCCACATTTTCTCCCTCTATTTCCCAGTTGTCAATCATTCTTGTTGCCATAATCTTGGTTTTTTTATGTTTAGCTGCAACCCAGCTTTTGCGCTTTCTTCTTTCACCTTGATTAGAAGGCTCCTCAGCTCCTCCTCGCTTTCGGCCATCAGAGTGGTGTCATCTGCATATCTGAGGTTGTTAATGTTTCTTCCAGCAATTTTCACCCCAGCTTTGCATTCATCCAGCCCCGCACATCGCATGATGTGTTCTGCATACACGTTAAAAAGGTTGGGTGAGAGTATGCAGCCTTGCCGTACGCCTTTCCCAATCTTGAACCAGTCTGTTGTTCCGTGGTCAGTTCTGACTGTTGCTACTTGGTCCTTGTACAGATTCCTCAGGAGAGAGACAAGGTGGCTTGGTATGCCCATCCCACCAAGAACTTGCCACAATTTATTATGATCCACACAGTCAAAGGCTTTAGAATAGTCAATGAAGCAGAAGTAGATGTTTTTCTGAAACTCCCTGCCTTTCTCCATTATCCAGTGGATATTGGCAATCTGGTCTCTCGTTCCTCTGCCTTTTCTAAACCCAGCTTGAATATATATATATATTCTTTCATGTGTGCTGCTTGGTTTGCAATGTACGAAAGAACCCATCCATTCTGAAGACAGGCCTCTTTAAAAAAGAAGCAGCAGCAGAAGTTGCCTCTGGTGTCATGGCGGCAGCCGGCAAAAAGAAGGCCCCGCGCCGACAACTCCCACAATCCTCTGCGCGAGTCAAGCTGCCCCGCGGGAAGCCGCCAAGCGTTGCTCAACAGCGCGCGCAAGAAAAAGAAAGACTGCTTTACGGCCGGAAGTGGCTTCCGCTTCCGCCACTCGCCTGTCCGAGAGCGGTTGGCCGCCGCCGCCGCCGCGGTTGTTCTGAGTAGCCCGGCGACGTGAGGAGCGATGAGAGGGAGCCTATTGTGACCGGCCCTTCTCCCCGCCGCCTGCCGCCCCCTCCTCCCTGGCATCCAGGCCGGTCGGGATGGAGGAGGAGAGCATGGAGGAGGAGGAGGGGGCCGGCGCAGGAGGAGGAGGGGGAGGCGGCGGAGGCGGCGGCGGGAGCTTCAGCAGCAGCGGCAGCAGCAGTTACGAGGCCTTCATGGACGACCAGAACCACAACAACTGGGGCGCGGCGGGAGGAGGAGGAGGAGGAGGAGGAGGCGGGTACGGGCAGCCCCCTCCGCCACCGCAGCCCCCCTCGCCCTGCCCCGGTGAGCTCCGTCGGCCCTGCCTTCACAGGGGCTCCTTGCCGGCACAGGAGGAGCTGCAGATCCACATGATGGCCGAGGCGGCGGCGGGCAACGCGGGGCAAGGGAAAGGCTGCGAGGCCGCGCCGGGCAAAGGAGGGGGCGCCACTGTCGCCCCCGCCGCTGCAGGCCTCAACCTCAACATCAACCCTTCCGCTTCCAAGTTCTGTGAGTAAGGCCCACTCTCAGGGTCTTTGGGGCCCTTCCACACAGTTGAATAAAACCCCACATTATCTGCTTTGAACTGGGATATAGAATATCAAGGCAGAAAACCCCACAATATCTGTATATGTACCCAGGGCCCTTCCACACAGCCCTATATCCCAGAATATCAAGGTAGAAAATCCCACAAAATCAGTGTGTGTACCCAGGGCCCTTCCACACAACCCTATATCTCAGAATATCAAGGCAGAACATCCCACAATATCTGTGTGTGTACTCGGGGCTCTTCCACACAGCCCTATATCTCAGAATATCAAGGCAGAAAATCCCACAAAATCAGTGTGTGTACTAAGGGCCCTTCCACACAGCCCTATATCCCAGAATATCAAAGCAGAACATCCCACAATATCTGTGTGTGTTTACCCAGGGCCCTTCCACACGGCCCTATATCCCACAATATCTGTGTGTGTACCCAGGGCCTTTCCACACAGCCCTATATCCCAGAATATTAAGGCAGAAAATCTCACAGTATGTGCTTTGAACAGGGTTTTGAGAGTCCACACTCAGATGTGGGATTTTCTGCCATTATATTCTGGGATGTAGGGCTGTGTGGAAGGGCCCTGAGCACACACTCAAATAATGTGGGATTTTCTGCCTTGATATTCTGGGATATAGGGCTGTGTGGAAGGGCCCTGGGTTATATGGCTGTGTGGAATATTAAGTAATATTTCAGAGGAAGGAACTGGCAAAACCACCTTTTGAGTATTCCTTGCCTAAGAAAGATAACCTAAGGCCCTTCGACACAGCTCTATATCCCAGAAAATTCCACATTTGTGCATTGTAGACACCCAGCCCTTCTCAAGCGCATTATAGATTCCAGAACACGGCTGTCAAAAAGAGCCTCAAGTGCGTGGCTGGGCAGAGGTGGGCTAATTGGCCTCCCGGGATGGGGAATTACTTATCTCCACTCTTAGTTGTCACTTCTCCCTCTCCTTTTAAAAAATCCCATGGGCCCTTCCACACAACCCTATGACCCAAAATATCAAGGCAGGAAATCCCACATTACCTGACTGTGGACTCTAATAACCCTGTTCAAAGCAGATATTGTGGGATTTTCCGCCTTGATATTCTGGGATATAGGGCTGTGTGGAGGGCCCTGTATGGCTTTGGTGCACTGATGTCAGTCTCTGCAGATAATTGGTGGTGGTGGAATCCTGCAAAGTGTTTTGAGACCATATTCCGTATTCACAGTAGTCACTTTCCATGCCTCAAAACAATTCAAAGCATGGCGGTCTTAATAACTTATAATAACTTTGATGAACCAGCCTGGACTAAGCATATTATTTGAGAACACAGAAATGCTGGACCATTCTAACAACCACCATGTCAGACTACACAGAGAAGCCATTGAAATCCACAAGCATGTGGACAATTTCAACAGAAAGGAGGAAACCATGAAAACTCTAAAATCAAAACAATAGATAAAGAATAACATTCAAAAACAGGGTAATTCCAGACAAGAAACAATAAGGGCCACCTCCCAACAAAGGATTCCCCCAGGCAGTAAGCAGCTAGACCTTGAAACTGCAAGGCCATTATATGCTAATTAAAGTGCCTCAAGCAGACAAGAGTTCTTTCTCCCACCCTGGATGTTCTACAGATATATAAACCTCATTTTCCTAGTTTCCATCAGACCTCACAATCTCTGAGGATGTCTGCCATAGATGCAGTTGAAACATCAGGGGAGACTGCTTCTGGAACATGGCCATACAGCCCAGAAAATTCACAGCAACCCTATAATAACTTTATTTTTATACCCTGCCACCAACTCCCTGAGGGGACTTGGGGCAACTTACAAGCGGGACCAAGCCCAGAACATAAAACAAAATTCACCAACTAAAAATTCAGTTGAAAACATAATAACATATAACTGTCCAATTACAGCACGATTAAAAACAACAAAGTATAAAAACAGTGTTAAAACTATTTCAAACCAAACTCAACTAGCAGTAACCAAGAATATGATGGGCATGATCAGACTAGAGAGGGATGGGCATGTACTTGTGCAAAAAGCAGACTGTAGGGCAGGGCAAAGAGTTAAGTTCTGAGTACAACCTTATCGATAAACTGGGCTGGGCATTAATGAACAGGGCCTAATCGTCATCAGATGCACACTGATCCTCCCAAACCAGTTCCAAGCTGTATTACAGACATGCTCTCAGTCTCTTCCCGCTTCAGATCAGAAGATGAGGTATTGGCATCCATCCTATAGCACTTGCCTTTCTATAAGATGGGGCAGGACACACATCCCATGCATCCATAGTTTTTGCTAGTGGGTGGTTCCATCTTTGGCAGCACTCTTCTCTGCCTCCCTTGCTTGCACCATTTGCCTTGAGGGTTCTTTTAAAGGAGAATGGACAAATTCATTGCGTGGTATCTGCTATAGCATTAATCCTCACACTCACTTGTGCATGCATCTGTCTCACATAGGGTACATCTACACTTTAGAATGATTACAGTTTGAATTAATTTTAACTGTCTTTGGCTCAGTGCTATGAAATCCTTGGAATTGTAGTTTGGCAGAGGAGCTAAAGACCATGCAAAATGACAATTTCCATGATTCTACAGCATTGTACCAAATGATATCAAACTGCATTAATTCAGTAACCCTAAAGTAAGTGCACCTATGGGCAATGTGGCTGTGAGGAGTTATTAGTCATGATGGATATGTGTTTTTTCTTAAATACTGTGGGCTCAGTATCTGCTGTATGCTCAAGTCCCGTTGTATATATTCAGTGGCATAGGAACATGACATACTGTATATAGAATGTGAAAATCAAGGTTTGCATTTTAGAATTTTTTGGGAAGTATATTTTCAAATCTTGGATGGTTGAATTTGTGCTTGCAGAATCTGTGAATATGGAGGGCCAACTGCAATAGAAGAGTGTGTAAATGTGAAACGGTAACGGCATACATACTTTTCTTGTGGAAGTTTTACAGTCATCTGCCTGGCCACATGGGATGGTGAAGTGCTTAGATCACCTTGGACAACTGTCTTTGCAGCCTTAACCCTTCGAAGGTTCTTTTGACCCATCCTTTTTCTGTTCTTTTCTCTACAAGGGTGAATTGCTACTCCCAGAAGCCCATAGGTCTCAGTTCCCACCCACATTTTGTTGCTGTAAAGTTGTTTCCAACTTATGGGAACCTGTAAGGCAAACATAACATGGGGGTTTCTGAGGCTGAGAGTACGTGATTGGCTCAGAGTAACTCAGTGGATTATTGTGGTTGAGCAGGGATTGTGGTTGAGCAGGGATCCGGAGAAGAAAATTGGCATTCAGAACCACAATAGTTACTCACTTGTGATTTAGGCCGCTGGTCCAACCCAGTAGCCCTCTTCTTATGAGTGTTATGGTTATGGATTTACTCTGCGGTTTCCAGTTATGCCTGTGTTGTTGTTGTTGTTGTTTTAGCAGTAGCATTAATAATTGCATTTCTGTTTTTTATCTCTTAAAAGAGATCCAGGCATGTGGAATTGTGGTGATATAATTTAAACGGTGGCTTCAATCTAAGTGTATAAGCTACTCCTTATCTTTATTGTGGATTTCAAATATAGACCTGTGGTTTTGAAATGTAATTTTGCACATGGAGTTTGGACTGATAAATGCTCAAGTTCAGTCTGATTAAAAACATACACACCTTGGACAGTTTGTTAAATGTGTCTCATTCTAAGGCAGTTCCCCCATACATTAACTACAAATGGCCCTACAAATGACCACAGTGTGTGCTTAATGGCTTTCTTCTTTTCTTCTATTTCAATATGTATTGCCTTGGTAGCAGTGTAAACCCTTCAGAAATGCAAACTAGACCTTCTGCTTAGAAATACTGTTGCCTTTCTCTCTTGCATGCACCTACTTGTGAAGGTAGGCGTTTAAAGTAGATGAGGAAGATCAAAGAGCTTGCTCCAGAGTTACATTATAAATGGACATAATGAGCTTTTCTCAGGTCTGTCTATATGTGTGACAGCAACCTGCACAGTTTGTTTGATCTAGGGACTACCTTATCTAGAGAAGAAATTGAATCTAGCTAGGAATTTTAAATTGACTTCTCAGAAGTTTTTTAAAAAACAATACGGACTCCCCAACTCCAGCAGCAAGACCTCAGTTCACCATTGGCTTATTTTGCAAGCCAGGGGAAAGAACAATTTTGATATTGCATGTTTCACAATTTACAGTAGTATGCTTGAAATCTGGCTTAAATTGAGAAGCCATAGTTTGTTACCAAACCCACATTTGGGTTTGTCTGTGTTTGGAATAATACTTGCCTGTGACAAACAAAATCACTGTGGTCCACGAACCACTAAGTTTTGATCCAGATGGGAAATGCACTCCTGAAATAGTAATCATGGGGAAAAAGGTGTCTACACTGAAACTTTATCATCAATCTTTGTTTCTACAACAAGCAATTTCAAAATCCAATTATCACAGGGACAGTAAGTGTGGTGAAATCTTCTGAACAGGGGCACAGACAGCAAAACAAACACCACAGGAGTGTTAACCCTTCCCTATGCTATCCAAAATACACACACACACACAATATAAAGAGAGAGTTAGAGTGTGTATATATAGATATATATAATGGCTGGAAGTACACTTAAAATGTGTTCCAACTTACAAACCTATCTCGTTTGTAACTTGGGGACTGCCTGTATAGATGAAATTTCCATTTTGTTCTCTATAACTTTATATGTGCACGTCTGTTGAGAAGTAAAGCAAACTGTTCAGTGGGATTTGCTTCCATTAATTGCGAAGTAAAATAAATGCCTTACATGGATAGGAAATATCTGGGAATTTTTTTTACAGTTTGTACATGTTTAAAAAGTTTGGTTTGTGTTAAAGAATGTTTACATGTGCAATTAATGATGTTTGTTTCATTATTCATTTTAGCTGCTTTTCCAAGTTGGCTAAAATATTTTCTTTTCTTATAGTAATGAATGTTATAACGATAGAAGACTATAAGAGCACATATTGGCCAAAGTTGGATAGTGCCATAGATCAGCTTTTAACACAGAGTCCTGGTGACTACATCCCCATCTCCTATGAACAAATATACAGGTAATCTTATAACAACAGTATGTTTGAAGGTGGCTATGTCAGTTCTATAGCTATTTTAATGAGCCAATATTATGTTCCTAGATACAAATGTTAATTTGATAATTGAATTATTTTGTAATTTGGTTAAACATATGTAAATTTAATAAAGAAATAAAGCAGTTTTAAAGCCTTTTATGTAGTTTTAGGATGTTTTTCTCCCACCACAGTATTCAAGACAAAAGTTCATATCCTTTGTGGTAGGGATCTACATCTATTCAGTTGTAATGGCTTGTGAGGAATATAGTCTGTCTGGCTACTTCTGATTTGTAGGGATGGCTTTATCAGATCTGGATTATATGGCAGTGTAGAAGGGCCGTCAGTCTCAACCCCCACCTCCAACAGACGAAGCCTCTGTTTCCAGACTGCAAGTACTGATAAGAGGTGGGGGCTGAGACTGATAACCCTTCTTCACTGCCATATAATCCAGATCATCAAAGCAGATAATCCAGATTATTTGCTCTGAACTGGTTTATATGCATCTACAGTGCCATATAATACAGTTTAAAACAGATAATCTGGATTTTATTTGGCAGTGTAGATTGGGCCTTAGTAGAGGGGCAAAAGAGAGGGACATTCAGCACTTCCAGGATCCACATGTGGTCATGAGTTGAGCACCCATTTTACATGAAAGCAAGATCAATAGATTTCAGTTAATTTTTCTCTACTGTTGTTGGTAGAATAATAGATATGGATGAGAATAGTATTTTAAGATTTTATTTTTGTAATTTAGGCAAATGTTTCTTTTCCCTTTCATATAACATCAAACATATAGCTCTTGTTTCACATTTTTGGCCTAAACAGTTTGGAGGCAATCCTTGGAACTTTGTTAATAAAATGTATTTTCAAGTATACCCTAACTGATCTAGGAATTTTCTGCCATCTTTCAACAAGTTTCAGGAAAGTTTACAAGAGATTAAAGTAACAATAAAACAAATGTTTATCTGTTTTTGATACTTTTAAATTGCTTTTCAGAACAAAATCCTCTCAAAGCAATTTCACACCACATATGCAAACACCCATTAATCCCTTGGGGTGCGAGAAAGAATTCTGCAAATTATGTTCACTACAAAAAAGGTCTAGTGGTCATCAATCTTAAAGGCAGGCCAATCAGCAAGGATTCTAATGGTAGCCACCAAAAGTGAAGTAGATTAGACAGACAGATTTTAACATTCCCTGGGGTTAGAACGTCCACAAAGTGGGAAAAAATAATTTTAAAAATGAGAGAACAGCACTTTAGAAATCTCTAACTTTGTCAGCATAACCCTGAAGTCACTTTTTGCTGGAAATTGACTATAGAATTGTTTTCTTTAGGAATCTCTAAGGGCCCTTCCACACAGCCATATAACTCAGAATATCAAGGCAGATAATCCATAATTTCTGCTTTGAACTGGGTCCACAGTGCCATATAATCCAGTTCAGTGTGGGTTTTATACAGCTGTGTGGAAGGAGTTAAAGTCCAATGCAATTAGAAGTTGGCCATAGAGTCATGCTGAAGGGCCTCGAGATTCCTAGAGAATATATTAATCAAAATCCCAAATGATCGAATCTGCTAAAGTGATTTATTTATTTATTTATTTCATTTATTTATTTATTTCATTTATTATTTCAAATATTTGTACCCTGCCCTTCTCTACCCCCGAAGGGGGACTCATGAAACATAAGAATGTGAAGTGCTCAGTGTATGGACACAGTTTATCCTTCAAAAAAAAAGTGGACCTGAACTTAAAGTTTGAATGTTCAAAACTAGCACCTTAAATTCCTTGTGAGTTAATTTGTACCCAGGGCAGCTGTTAACATACTGGTTTAATATATTCTGATTGGCTAGCCACTGTGTTTGAATACCTGAGTGACCACATTCTTACTCCACTGGATTATTTGCATTTGATGAAGTGTTGCCTTTCCTAATGTCTGGGGTGATAGAGATATAAAATAGTTGGAAATTTTGAAGCCATTAAAATGCAATGTGTTTTCCAATCTTTCACCAATAGGAAATCTAAATGTGGGAGAAAGTGAGACATATTCATACTTACATTCTTATTAGACCTATCCTTATGTTACTGTTTTAACAATGTAAAATGGTTTATTGAACATTTAACTCACTTGTCACATTTTACAGTTCCTCACTGAATGTGAAAGCTTTATTTTTGTACAAATTGTGGATATACCTATACTGAATGTTGTAGATGTGTTATTTGATGGTAGTTTGTAAGCTGTTACGTAGTAATTGGTCTTACGTGGTACTCTTAATAGTTTCAGAGAAAGTACTCTCAGGCCCCTTCTTACACTGCCATATAATCCAGATTATCAAAGCAGATAATCCACATTATCTGTTTGAACTGGATTATATGAGTCTATGCTGCCATATAATCCAGTTCAGAACAGATGACCTGGATTTGATATGACAGTGTAGAAGGGGCCTAAGACAGTTGATGATTAAGGTCTTTTAACTTTACTACATTGGCTCAGAAATCCTGGCCTTTTTAATACCTTAAATATTGTTGTGGGATTATTAATTCCTTGTAAAGGTTTGGGGACTATCCAGCTCTTATTTGAATAATACGTTTAGCAAGTGTCCGATATTTGTAATGACTTATCAAGAGAAAGCATGGGAGATCTACCAGGCTGAACCTACCACAGGCAGGAATGATCCTTCCTGGTTCCTTCAGCTTTGGTTCTAACATTAAAGATAGTTCTCACATGAACATTTGATGTGGCGAATCTTGTCTTCATTGCTTCGACCTTCAACAAAATCGTGGAGATCAAAAATATAATGCTATGACGCTGGAAGACTCCATGAATAAAAGTTATAGGAAATAGTAGTGTTATGTATAAGCATGTTTGTTTGTCTTAATGTAGAAAATATGGATTTATTTTTCAATCTTGATCTAGTTAATGTGATCTAATACATTCTAGTTCAAGAGAGAGGAATATTTTAATACTTGTAAGTCTTTTGACTGATTTCATCCAGTTTCTAATACTAAGTGATCAATGTATGTATATGATAGTGACCAGTGGTTAAGACATCCATCTTGCTTTTGCTAGTAATCTTAAGGTAGGACTGGCAAATGTGATCGGAAGGAATCCATTGCCCTCAAGAACACATCAGTCCCTGACTGTATTCTACTACTGCTACTAAAAAAAATCCCATCAGTTCTTTGCCACTGTCAGAATTCATTGATTTTGGAATGACATGGATCTAATGCTATGGAATTCTGGTAATTGTAGTTTGCCCTCTCTGCCAGTACTCTTTGGCAGAGAGGACAAGTTGTGCCCTTGTAAAAGCACATCTTGCATGATTCCATGGCATCAAGCCATTAGGTTAAAGTGCTTGAAACTGCATTAATTCTACAGTGTAGATGCCTGCCGCCCCTCATTACTTACGTTTTGCTTTGAAAGGGGGAAATTCTTATTTAATTAATATGGTAACCTTACAGTTTTGCCTGAAGGAATATTCCTAGAGTGGCATATTGTTGGTATGTGTATCTATGTGCTTTCATATATAGACCTAAGTCTAATTTTTAGTTCCAACAGGAGTAGACAATTAGTAGAACATGATAACTCAGCACTTCCATGTGTTCCATTGGTATTGTGAATCTATTCTTTGTTGTTGTGTGCCTTCAAAGGGGGGTTGATTTTGCCTTCATGTGGGACAGAGATGATGTGACTTGCTTACTGTGTCCTGGTGGTTTTCCATGTTGGGGCGGGGATCTGAACCCTGGTCTCCAAAGAAATAGTCCAGTCCTAAAATTCTCACATTTATTTTAGTTGGGCATAATAGATTTAGATGAAAGAAACTCTTTTAAGGCAACATTAAACATGGGTAAGTTGCTTAGTAGGACGAAGTTCACACACCAGTTTGACACAGACAAGTTATTTGTTGCAGCCTTGACTTTATAGACTTAATTTTAAGTCTGGAATAATTTGTCAGGAACATAACTTAGCTGACACAAAATCTGAATGCTAATAGGATTTTTGTTGCATATGGGTGAAACCTAATTTATTTTTTAAAAAGTTGGATTTCTATTGATTTGATATTGTTTTTATACCTTCCTGCTGCAAACTGTTATCAATTCATCACTGTTCCTGTATTTATCTCTGCAGTTGTGTGTATAAATGTGTGTGCCAGCAGCATTCGGAACAGATGTATAGTGACCTAATAAAAAAGATAACTAACCACTTAGAGAGAGTCTCAGAGGAGTTGCAGGTAAGAAGCTGTGTAATTTTGTTTTGAGAATTTTACTGGGAGTTAGAGCAACAGCGGTCACTTTAATTTATTATCACAGTTGCTACCTGTGAAATAGTAAAGTTAACTTTGATGGCATTATAGACCACTAGTCCTTGAATAATCCCTTTTCATGAGAATCAGGTTTTGCTCTAATTATTTAAGTCATGCTTTCAAATACTTTGAAACAATAAAAGGAGAAAAGGCTATACATGTTACACAATCATAAAAAAACATATTCTTTTTTAAAAATCCAATGCGTTTTAGCCTTATTACATATTGGTCTTCTTCAGGGGCTATTCAATCTTCAGAAATTTCAATAGAGTTGCAGTATGCACTTTCTGTGCAAGTCACAATGAAGTATTAACAAAGATGTCCTTTTAAAAAACAATGCAACTTGGCTGAAATGCATTTTTAAATGATGAAAGCTTTTGACCATTATCTAATACAGGCATGGGCAAACTTTCTAACATGGCAGACCAAAGTGGGATGGGCAGGCTGGGAGGGAGGGGGTTCTCCCCAAGCCCCCCCCCCCCCGCCCCCCTGGGCCTTTTCCTCCCATGCCTTTTCTCTTCGGAGGCAGAAAGTGAAGGAACGTTGGGAAACTTCTGGATCTAAAAAGGGTTATCCTTGGTCAGAATGAGATGTGGATGGGAGAGAAAAAGTATATCCATTAGACCAGGTGTCCTCAAACTAAGGTCCGAGGGCCGGATACGGCCCCCCAAGGTCATTTACTCAGCCCTCCCTTAGGATCAAACTAAATCAGAAACAACTTGAAAGCACACAACAACAACAACAATCCGATGTCATCAGCCAGAAGCAGGCCCACACTTCCTATTGAAATACTAGTAAGTTTATATTTATTAAAATTGTGTTCTTCATTTTAATTATTGTATTGTTTTTAAGGGTTTTTTTGCACTACAAATGAGATACTACAATGTGCATAGGAATTCAGTCATCCTTTTTTCCAATTATAATCAGGCCTTCCAACAGTTTGAGGGACTGTGACCTGGTCCTCTTTTTAAAAAGTTTGAGGACCCCTACATTAGACCCTGTATTGCCTACTCCTGATATATAATCCTAGAAACCCAGAGTTGGAAGAGACCCAAAGGGCCATCCAGTCCAACCCCCTGCCATGCAAGAAGGCACAATCAAAGCACTCCTGATAGATGGCCTCTATGGAAAAGCCTCACGAGAAGGCGACTCCACCACACTCCAAGGTAGCCTACACCACTCTCCAACAGCTCTTACTCTCAGGAAGTTCTTCCTAATCTTTTCAGTCCAATCTCTTTCTGTGCCATTTGAAACCACTGCTCCCTTGTGCCGTAGTCTCTAGAGCAGCAGAAAGACAATTTTCCTCCTCCTTCTCAGTGGGACACCCTTTTAAATATTGAAACATGGTTCTCATGTTCCTTCTCAAATTTCTCCCAGCTAAACATCCCCCAGGAGAAAAGGAGGAAGGAAAAAGAGACAGGAGGGAGAGAAGGATGGAAGGGAACGGAGGGAGGAGAGGGAGGGATGAAGGAAAGACAAAAGGGAAGGAAGGACGGAAAGAGACGGAAGGAGGGAGGAAAGAGGAAAGGAAGGAAGGACGAAGATGGAAGGTAAGGAGAGAGGGAGGGAGAAAGAGGGAGGGAGGGAAGGAGGAAGGAAAGAGAAAAGGAAGGAAGGAAGGATAGGATGGTGAGAGAGGAGGGCCTGAGAAAAGAGCCCAAGGGACTATATCCGACCCTTGGGCCTAGGTTTGCCCATACCTGATCTAGCACATGGAGTCGACTTGGTAAGCATGAAGCTTAGGCAATACACACATTTTAAAAAAATGATAGTGATGGATGATTTTATGATTCCTTTCTTTCAAAAACAAAAAGTGAAACCCTTAAGTAACGTGCACACTTTGGTGATTAATAACTTACTCTTGGGTGTATATCACACGAGGCAGGCAAATTGCAATTACAGCAAGACAGGAGCATCTTTGGCTGGGATTCATCATATGGCCTCATTCTCATCTTACCTTTCTGGAAAGTGTTACAATCACTTAAAATCTGTTAATGAGCCCCTTTTTCTTGCTACATACAAAAAAAATCTTAGTCAAGGCAAAGTGTATTGTTTCCTTTTATTCTGTCAATTTTAAATTGAGCAGACATTATGTTCTTGTTGAACGTATCTGAGTCCTTTATCTTCTGGATTTGATCCCAAATCTGTTGGAGCCAAATTCAAATCCTGATTTTTTTTTCTAAATGTAAACATTTTTTTTTTCAAACCACCCTGGATAAACATAGTCATAACTTCATAAGTTATGGCCGCATTGTGAAACTTCAAATTTTTTTCAGTTTATGAATATTTAACTGCTGTTTAAGTTAAAGTTAGATGTTTACTACAAAACCAAATGGTGAAAAGCTTTGGTTTCGGTGCTTACAACTTTCTCTATTATCTTCTACTATTGACATGAAGTCTGAAATATCTGTACTTCAGAACATGGGCTATAGGTTGTGGGTAAAACATTTATTTGCATAAATGTAAGCTCTGAGACATTGTTAAGACAATATTACAGGGTAAAGGAAAGGCAGTATGATGCCAAGGAAATGACAACTACATCAAGAACAAATGTTAAGAGGGAAATGAAGGCATTTTGTTCAGTCAATATCCTCTTTAGTCATGGATGTCAGAAAAACATGGCTTTATATTTTTGTACTGCCCTATGTTTGTTGTTTATAGTCTGTTTTAATGCATGTGAACAGTATAGCTTTACTTTCAATTCCTTTGCATTGTGGTAGCAAACAAGATCTCCAGGATGAATGTGTTCTTGTTTTACTTCTTCTTGTGTCCATACCTTTCATAATTATTTTTCACCCTCCTCTGCATGTTTCACTTTTCCAAAATTGTGATGTATAGAATTGTACAAAACTGAAAATTGTGGGTTTCCTTCTGGGTGCTTCCTCACCTATTTCCTGGGGTCCTATTGGAGTTGAGAAGATAAACATCAGCTCCTCAGTGTATATATAACTCATGATGCTTTTGCAAGAACGAATTATAAGACACACCTCATCCGTTACATTTATAATTGCAACATTACAGTTTTCTCATCAATTATCCATTGATCTGAAGAACACGTTTGGAAAGACAGCTTGCCGGAATGCTTAATCCTTGTCACTTGATAATATAGTTTCAGTTTAAAGAGTGCAGATGCAATAGGGGATGTAATATGTGGGAGGTAATTGCATACATCTGAGTGTATGTAATCTTCTTCTGAAAATAAGTTCTTGATAATGGAACAAGGTTCTTGAACTGGAAAGGCATTAGGTCTTGATCTTTTCTAAACTAGCAGGATGAAGCAATGGCTGGCAAATATTGTAGATAATTTAGACATATGGAAACTGTAGAGAATTTCTCTTTATCTTCACAGAACAGTCTGAATTGATGTGTGGTCCTTGTGTCATCTACCAATTTAGATTTTTTTTATTTTCCATTTTATGTAGTGCACTGTAGGTGGCAGCAAAATCCCTTTGTCACTAGAATAACTGTTTTCAAAACATCAAGCCAGCTGAAAGTTAGCCTGAAGATACACAATTACTGGCATTCCTTTCCCAGATGCACATAGAAATGCTTATGATTGCATTAACCCTTTTCTTGTTTGATAGTAATATATGTCTAATTAGGGACTATTAGTGTTATATAGATTTTCTTATGTGTGAGTATGCACTAGGCATGGCTCATAGTGATAGATGTCAACCAAGTGTATAAGTATTAAAAACACAGTAAGAACCCTGTAACAATGGAACCTGTATCCATAGTTTCACTTACACATGCTTGGCAGGGAAAATGGTCTCTAGAAATTTGCTCAGTCCTCCAGATGTTTCTGTGGTATGCTCTTTCCTACAGAATTATCATACAGTTGCCGTAAGGGACCAAGCAAATTTCTAGAGAGGATATCTGTAGGAAACTCTAGGGCCCTCTACGTAAGGGATGCTGGGATTGGAAATGAGTTAAATTAATGGTATCTGGTAATACTTGCAGTGTCACATAACTGCAAGCTGGTCAGAAACATATCCTTCACTGATTGGAAGGCAGAGAGGAGTGGAGGAAATGTACATAATCTCATACACATTTCCAAATGTGCATGAGATTGTGTAGATACTAGCAAAACTTGAAGCAATACTTGAGGCAATAGAGGATTGCTTGCTGTATGCATTTTACCCATGGTATAAAATGTCCTCTGTGTGTGATAGTTACACATATTTCCAAATGTGCATGAGATTTGACCAGTTTTGGCTGACATCTTTAATTTCATGTTGTGGTAGAGGATCCAGTAAGATTTCTGTGTTATAGCACTCCTCCACAGTTCATTCTCAGTAATGGATTTTGAGCATGTATGAAAGAGCTGTTGCAGTCAAATTTCTTAATGGGTAGTTGATTTTCCCATTATCTCCATAGAGTTCTATATTTCAGGTATTTCCTTCCTCTTCTTTTTAGTGAAATCATGCCTTTATTCAAGGTGTCAGTTAGATGTGTATTGTAACCTGGCACTATCATTATTCTGCTATGTATTGGTTATTTTCATTTTCTTGCTACTTCTTTTTATTACAACTTATTTATTTATTGTAACATAGAACAGAAATGAAGGTGGCTTCTTGAACTTACGTTGCATTGATTATATCTCTGCAACAAAAGTTCAATGTTCTTGTTTTTTCTTGGGCATGCTTTCTCCAAGGATAAATGAATATTTGAATATATTCCACTTGGTTAGCATCATAGATCTGACAAGGCACAAACCGTGTTGAAATGTATACAAAAACACAGAGCTCAGTCTTGATTACCAAGGTGATTTTTTTGGCCAGACTCTGGTCTCTTCAACCTTTTGTTTCCTTCGCCCACATCTGTACTGGTGTTGGGAAGCAAGGTGTGCTGGTTGAGCCTTCTGTGTTCAGTTGTCATAGTTTAGTCTTTCTTCATCTCTGTGATTAAATCAGGGTTACTCTCTGGGATCATTAGGTGGCTCAAGTTCCCAGTAATCACACAGCTAAAACTTTTATAGTTTAATCAAAGGAGGTGAGGGCTATTTTTTTTTTTGCGATGTGCAGAATCCCCGTCCACTCACTTGCCTAAATCCAAACTTCTTAGTAAGAGAGAAAGAAGATGATTATCCTTAATCTCATATTGTATTTTACAGTATGTCCAGTCCCCTTTATACACAGATCCATGCAGCAATGGCTTGATTTTTTTTATTTCCAAAAAGCAAGCCTTTATTTTCCCCATTTTATATAGTGGATGCCATTTGACTATGTCACTGTATGAGACCAAAGCATCACCAGATTTTGGCCTCAATGGAGAGTTCTGAAGCCAAACCCCAGCGGATACCAAGAGCCTACTCTAAAGACCATCAAACCAAAAGACAAAACAAAAAAACTTACTGGCTGTATATTTCACTACTTAAAACGATTAGATGAGTAAGGTAACCCTGGCTTTTAGTGGTATTTCAAGGCAATCTCTTTAGTGTAAATGAAGTGAATGTAACAGCTTTTCATATGCTACTTAATAAGATATTTAGTCTTTGCAGAATGCTTCACTTCCAAAATAAAGTCTTTCAACCATTACATAAAAGGCTATACACTGCAAGTGCCTAAAATTGAGTCAATATGAGAAAAAAGTGATATCAGCATATTTGCTGTCACTCTTTTTGTTGGTTATGAAATGTGAATTTCAGAGACTGGATAAATTAAAAATGATAGACATTATTAAGAGGTTAAGATTGTGAGGAAATTGTGCATGCATAATTAAACACAGAGCACACAGGTATCCAAACAGATGCATCATGCTTCATACTCTTCTCAGTAATTTTGTTAATTTGTTATACATTTTGGCAGCTCAAACTTTTATTTCAACATTTGTTCCCTTTTCTCTATTGTTTTCTCTTGACTTCTTTTTCTTTCAGCCGTAGTTTTTAAAGAATTGCAAATTAGGTTGTTTATGATTTATCTACATGTGTCATTATTCACTTAGAAAAGTTATGGCTAATTTCTGCATGCCAGTGTACACATTTCCCGAGCCAATTTTGCACCAGTGATGTTTCAGAGGCAAAAATCAGCACACCTTCATATCTATAGTACTTGACTAGTAGGATAAGTTGGAAGGTATAGGTATTTTAATTTTGTATCATCAAGCTATAATTCAGCATTTCAACCAGTATGGTGAAGAGGTAGTACAGTATGAAGTAATATATGACCCTTCTTATTGTGTTGGATTGAAATTCTCATTATTCTTTACTTTTGGTTATACTGACTAAGGCTGATGAGAGTGGCAGTCCAACCATATCTGGAACACCTCATGTTTCTCCTCTGTGAAAGGCCATGTACTTTTCACTTCCAGGTTCTTCTTTCAGCTAAGCAGCTCACTTTTGTGTGTGTGTGTGTGTGTGCATGTTAGGAGCGACTTGAGAAACTGCAAGTCGCTTCTGGTGTGAGAGAATTGGTCGTCTGCAAGGATGTTGCCCAGAGGACGCCTGGATGTTTTGATGTTTTACAATCCTTTTGGGAGGCTTCTTTAATGTCCCCGCATGGAGAGCTGGAGCTGACAGAGGAAAGTTATCATTGCTCTCCCTGGATTTGAACCTCCGCAGTTCACTAAATGGTTGAGATCAAACAGTCCTACAAACTTGTTTCCGGCATCAAATGCACAGTTGAAGCCAACCTATAAGGCAATTTCAGTAGTCATAGTTGTTTTACACCAGTGTTTCCCAAATGGTCTTTCAGATGTTTTGAACTTCATATCCCAGAATTTTTGACTTTTGCCCAAATTGGTTGGGGCTTCTGGAGTTGAAGTCCACAACAGCTGGAGGACCAATGTTTGGGAATTGACAAAAATTCTTAAACTGTGGGCTGCAATCTCACATTTGTTCACAAAACTGAATGTGGGGGTGGTGAAAAATTCGGCAACAGTAAAAGGTTTTTGAATATCACCTAGTGACTGTTGAAGATATTTACATAATCTTTTAGCAACAACATGCAGTGTTTATTGTGGACTCTGCAGCAAATGTTTCAACTGTACTTCATAAGAAGAGGAAATTAATATGCCATGTTTAGCAAGCCTTCTAATTGCCAGTTGTGCTTCCTGGCTATCTTTTCAGTTTCAGAAATACTTCCCTTCCAATTATTATTCTAAAAAAGCTAAGTTGGGTTCATTAACCATATTCAATTGAAATTAAAAAAAAATCAATTGCATGTGGTATTTTAAGGTCAGGATGTTTATGCTCCTCTACTTTAAAACTGTGATTGTTCAAGAATGTTGTTGAGTAACATGCAACAAAATGTTGGAGTGTGCAGGCTCCTGCTTCAGGGTTCCTATATGCCCTCTTGTTCTTCCTTTTACTTTACATTTCTCAGCAGGCACTTTGTTTTCTGTGATCACTGAGCTTGCTCAGTCTTTGCATTTCTCTGATTAGCTTTGTTGTCCTTCTGCAAACCCTGGTTTACTCAGGGCTGCTGATATGCCCGGCTTGTGCATGGATAGCACTCTTGCTACGTAAGGATTCATAGGGCAAAAATATTTTGTATTAATTTGTTTTGGAAATTAGTCATTGGGCTGTAGAAGAGCTTTAGGGGTTTTCAGTTAGCCAGAGTGAATTACTGTCTAAAAAGTCTAAACTGTTCCAGTCTATTGCATTATTTCTTCTGGAGATATATCCTACTTCTGGCCCAGACTATCTGTCTAAACGTATCTCATCCCATGAACCACCACAAAGTTTAAGATCTTCAAGAGAGGCTCTTCTCTCGATCCCATCATTATTGCAAATGCTGTTGGTGGGGATGAGAGACAGGACCTTCTTGGCAGTGGCCCCCCGTCTGTGGAATTCTCTCCCCGGGGACATCAGGTTGGCCACCTCCCTCCTGTCCTTCAGAAGACAAGTGAAGACTTGGCTCTGGGACCAGACGTTTGATTATTCAGATAGCGGCAATTGGAAAAGACTTAGGATATTTACGACATTGAATCTGCCTAGAATTGGATTTGGTTTTACCGACATGTATAATCTACTGTCTAATGAATTGTATAATGTGTTTTATTGATTTTTAATGTTGTAATGATTTTAAATGCTTTAATTGTACTTTGAATTGTTTACTTGTTAACAGCATCGTATGGTGTTTGTGTGAGGCCGTCCTGAGTCCCCCTTCGGGGGGGAGAAGGGCAGGGTAACAGTGCATTAAATAAATAAATAAATAAATATTTTTACTTGCAAGCATAACCAATTAATTCAAGATAGAGGTTCACTTCATTTAGTAAGGCATTTCATTTTTTCTCTCTTACAGGCCAGCCCTCGAGATCTGTACGTTGAAAGGTTTAACATAGCACTTGGACAGTATATGGGAGCATTACAGAGCATTGTGCCTCTTTTCATATATATGGTAAGTACGTAGAACAGCTTTTTCCAATGGCGCATTAGTTCTCTCTGGAAGAGATGAGGTGATGCTCAGTGGCTTGAGCACATGATTTGAGTGCACTTGTAGCATCTCCAGCTGGGGTTGGCAATACCTCTGCTGGAACCCTGGAGAGCTACCCCCAGTCACAGTTAGTATTGGGTTAAATAGACACATGCCTGGCTACTTATAAAGCAGCTTCTGCTTTTTGGGAGTAAAAGCTATAGCAATGTTCAGACTAAGTAGCTAGATACCTCTGTATTGTAATGGACATGGGAGATGATAGGCCACATTGCTTTCCAAACAGATAGTTTTGCTCCTTTGCTCACTTAGATTCTTTTCAGAGGCAGGCTAATCTCCATTCTGGAGGGCTTGACCCTAAATGGCACTCTTAAAAGTTATGACCATCCCATCAGTTTCTCGGATTTTATATACTATGGTAAAATTTAAAGGATCAGAAAGGGGCTTTCAGTTCATCAGGAAAGACGATATTTGTTGCAAGCAGCGTTTGTTTCTTGTAGGTTATGTAATTAGTGCTTTGTGAGTATGCTGTTCTTATTCTGAAATTAGGCCTAGGGTACATCTGCATTGTAGAATTAATGTAGTTTGAATGAGTTTAACTGTCATGGTTCAGCGGAATCATGGGAGCTGAAGCAGAGAAACCTAAAAATGTTATACAACTACAACTCCCATGATTCCATCTCATTGAGATATTACAGTTAAAGTGGTGTCAGACTGCATAGATGCACTTCTAGTTCTCACTGGAGTAGGATACCTGCATCCAGCACATGCTGCTTCAAACTGCAAGTCATAGGGAGCATAGCAATCAATTACTGCTCCAACTTCACTGACTGGCACAGTTCAACTATGAAGCCACCTTTATGCAGCCTCAATGAAGACTGAAAGTCCTTTTCTCCGTGTTTCAGTCTGCCTGGGTATTGCAATCTTTGAGAAATAACTTTCTCTCACGCCCCTGCCATGTTCATATGGTGAGGAAACAGGAACTACTCTTGGTGTTTGCTCCTAGGCATTGGAACACTCGCTTGCAGGAGGCTCTGTTGCTCCTTCTCTGTTCCACCTTTTTCCAACAGGATGAAAGGATCTTCTGTTTAAACAGGCCTTCTGACAACTGCTGACATCTAAGTTAACCAAGCCAAACAGATATTAAAGAATTTTCACAGCCTTTTCAAAACTAAAGACAGGAATACACTCTCCCCTTGATGGGAAACTTATTTTGAGCCTTGAAGCCCTTGCCGTGAATTGACTGGTTCTAGAAGTATACATTTTAATTAAGGTGTGCAGTGACCTTAAGATTCAGTCTGGCACCAAATGCGATGAATCTGGATCTACACTTTCATACATGTGGAAACTAATTCACCTAATACAGTACTGATTTGGAAACTGCCTGGTTGAACTAAGGAGATGTAGGGAATTCACATGGCAGTAAGGAATTCTGAGGCTTTATGCCTTATGTTGCAATAGCTTAATTTATTGGTGTTTGACAGACCCCCTGATAAAAGTTGCTGGTATTGAAACACATAGCGAGGGGAATATTGTGTTTAACTTTGCATTACGATTTTTAAACAAAGTGATCTGGCATCGGCAGACCTGAATTCATAGATGCTCCTTCTGAGGAGTTCAGGCCTGGCAGTTTTCTATTGTCTGGATACAAGGATGCCCACTTTGTTGTTGTTTATGTCTTTAAAATATTATTCTTTATGGGGTTAGCAAACAACTGTACACCCTACTCATGATTCTTTTTGGAATACTGGAAAGTAGAAATAACCATTGCTCAGCTCCAATTCCCTAAGAGGCATATCTCAACTGAAGAGCAGTATGGGAGAGTATGCTATTGGCCTTGTTTTGCTGGGTTCCAGGTGTTTGTGACAAACAGTTTCAGTTGGAACTGAGGAAACAGATGTTGGATGATTCTCTAGAGTAGACCATGGCAGTTTTATAAGAAAGAAGAATGACACATGCAGAGGGTATCAGGTCTTATGGTGAACATATTTGAAATCTGGACTATAGTACCGTATATTCCGGGGTACAAGACGACTTTCTAAGCCAGGAAAATCATCTCAAAAGTGGGGAGTCGTCTTGTACCCCGGTATAAAAATCCGGATCATTTTTCCCTCACCCTTGGCATCCCCGCGTGGTGGAGCCTAAGGAAGAGGAGGGTGGACGGAGGGAGGGTGGGGTGGGGAGGAGGAATGGCAGGCTTTACTACCAAGCCGGCAGCGTGGTAGCCTCCTAGGCTGTCTTCACCCGCGCCGGCATGGAGTTGGCTCCGCCTCCGTCCTCCATCCCAGCTGCCGCAGGAGCCAAAGCCAGAGCAGCGGGGGCGGGGACGGGAGAGCTCGCCTCTGGCTGCTGAGGCCCCGCCCCCCGGAGGGCCCCGCCCCTCCCGCCCCCGCTCCGGCCACAACTCCTGCCATGTTACCAGGGCGGCTGGGGACATTTGCGTGCTGTGCTGTCCCTGGTCTGCTGCTAGCTCCGCCTCTGGTCTCAAGGCCACCAAGGGAGCCAAAACCGGAGCATGGGACGGAGCCGCGAGGGGCGGGGTTCTCTTCTCCCACTGCCTCCCCGCTCCGGTTTTGGCTCCCTCGGCAGCCTTGAAACCAGAGGCGGAGCTAGCAGCAGAGCAGGGACAGCACAGCACGCAAATCCCCAGCTGGCCTGGTAACGCGGCAGGAGTCAAAACCAAAGCGGGGGGCGGGGACGGGAGAGCTCGCCTCTGGCTGCTGAGGCCCCGCCCCCCGGAGGGCCCCGCCCCTCCCGCCCCCCTGGTTTCGACTCCTGCCGCGTTACCAGGCCAGCTGGGGATGTTTGCGTGCTGTGCTGTCCCTGGTCTGCTGCTAGCTCCGCCTCTGGTTTCAAGGCTGCCAAGGGAGCCAAAACCGGAGCGGGGAGGCAGTGGGAGAAGAGAACCCCGCCCCTCGCGGCTCCGTCCCATGCTCCGGTTTTGGCTCCCTTGGCGGCTTTGAGACCAGAGGCGGAGTTAGCAGCAGACCAGGGACAACACAGCACGCAAACACCCCCAGCCGGCCTGGTAACATGGCAGGAGTTAAGTTTGCAAGCTTGGTAATTGATTAAATGTCCTTTGTCCACTATCTGGCCACTTGGAGTGCCTCTGGTGTTGCTGCAAGGAGCTCCTCCATTGTGCATCATGTGGCAGGGCTCAGGGTGCATTGCAGCCACTGGTCTGTGGTTTGCTCTTCTCCACACTTGCATGTCATGGATTCCACTTTGTAGCCCCATTTCTTGAGGTTGGCTCTGCATCTCATGGTGCCAGAGCGCAGTCTGTTCAGCGCCTTCCAAGTTGCCCAGTCTTCCTTGTGCCCTGGGGGGGGGGGGTTCTCATCTGGTATCAGCCATGGATCGAGGCTCTGCGTTTTAGTCTGCCACTTTTTGACTCTTGCTTGCTGAGGTATCCCTGTGAGTATCTCTGTAGATCTTAGTAAGCTATTTCTTGATTTAAGACATTTCTTTGCTGGCTGATATCCAAACAGAGGATGGGCCAGAGATGTCCCTGCTTTTAATCATAGAGTTGGAAGAGACCTCATGGGCCATCCAGTCTAACCCCATTCTGCCAAGAAGCAGGAATATTGCATTCAAATCACCCCTGACAGATGGCCATCCAGCCTCTGTTTAAAAGCTTCCAAAGAAGGAGCCTCCACCACACTCCGGGGCAGAGAGTTCCACTGCTGAACGGCTCTCACAGTCAGGAAGTTCTTCCTCATGTTCAGATGGAATCTCCTTTCTTGTAGTTTGAAGCCATTGTTCCATTGTGTCCTAGTCTCCAGGGCAGCAGAAAACAAGCTTGCTCCCTCCTCCCTGTGGCTTCCTCTCACATATTTATACATGGACATCATCATGTCTCCTCTCATCCTTCTCTTCTTCAAGCCAAACATGCACATCTCTTTAAGCTGCTCCTCATAGGGCTTGTTCTCCAGACCCTTGATCATTTTAGTCACCCTCCTCTGGACACATTCCAGCTTGTCAATATCTCTCTTCAACTGTGGTGCCCAGAAATGGACCAATTGGTCTAACCAAGGCAGAATAGAGCATGGGGAGCAGGACTTCCCTTGATCTAGACACTAGACTCCTATTGATGCAGGCCAACATCCCACTGGCTTTTTTTTTTTTTTTGCCGCTGAATCACATTGCTGGCTCATGTTTAACTTGTTGTCCACAAGGATCCCAAGATCTTTTTTACATGTACTGCTCTCGAGCCACATGTCCCCCATCCTGTATCTTTGAATTTATTTTTGACAGAAGTCAAACTGGAAAGCTCTTATTTACCCAGGGTCCCCCTTCTTCTTTTCTGATCTCTTTTCCCCTTCTAACAATTAAACATCACCTGGCTATGTTCTTGAGAAACTCTAAAACAATTCAAGCTGTCATGGTGATTTAAGGATGAAGACATGTCAAGATGTGACCCAGTAAACATGTGCCATGCCAAATGCTACATTTCTGAAGGATGAGGGTCCAATCTGCCCTTCTCTTCTGATAGGAGGTCCTGATTTATAAAGACTGCTTATAGATAAAAATTCTACAAATGCTTTGCCTTCGCCTCAGTAGTCATAGTACAAAGCCTGACTTCTATTTGCATGCAAGCTTCTATGCCAACATAAATGTAATCTGAACCATTTAAAGCCTGCTTTCATACTTGCCAGCATGATGTAAAGGACCCAGAGTGTAAATGAAATTCAAGGGAGAAAGAGCAACTATAATGTCCAATGTAAGGTACAGTGTCCCTCTCATAGGAACCTGCATGTCATAAACATTTGAATTAAAATTACCATATTGAATTCAAATCTGATTTTTTAAAAATTTTATTTGGTGTGCATTGGAAGAGGGGTGGTCTTATACGGCGAGTATATCCCAAACTCTATATTTTAACTGGAAAATTTGGGGGTCGTCTTATACTCCCAGTCGTCTTATATGCCGGAATATACGGTACCTTAATACTTAAAAAATTAATAATGATGGAAATTTTCATAGTCTTAGAGACTAACACTAGATATCTAAAGTGTTGTTCTCAGTGTTATTCTTGTATTAATATTTGTATCAGTTTTCATCTTTTTAGAGTGAATAATGTAAACAAATGCTCAGTTTCCTCCAATACTACGTGAATTTGAGAGATTGTCAATTGCTTCAATTCATTGCTCAAGAAACAAAACTAACTCAAGCTGAATGTTTAAGCCTGAGTGTTTAGGGACTGAGGGTTATTGTAAGACCAACAGGAAGAAGTTCTTTCTGTTTTCTTTTAGATCATCCACCTGCTGCTTGCAGGATAAATGCACTTAGTCTTTTGTTTCTGTGGACTGTTGATTTACACATGGGGAATGGGGAACAAAGCACCACACAACATGCTAGAATTCTTTGTGATGCTTCATTGCTAGTACTTGAAGCTGGACACAATTATAATCAATTTCTAATGCCACATTTGCAAATCCGAACAGAACATGAAATTCTCTCAAGTCCTTGAACCAATTGTGGAACTATTTAGTCTTCCCGAGAATGATTCTTTTTGTGTGTTCAGTACCAGTAGTCTCTGACATAATAATACAGTATGAGTAGTGTACTTTTATTTGAAGTATTTATATTCACCCATAGATGTTTACAGCACTGAGAGAGGAATACAAACAGTTATACATTTGTAGAGAGCCAGTGTGGTGTAGAGGTTTGAGCACTGGGGCCAATGATTGAATTCCAGTTTCAACCTACTGAGTTAGCTTGGGCAAGTCAAACCCTCTCAATTTCATTCACTGACATGTCTTACGGCATAAGTATTTTCAACTGAGGGTGAAGCAGTAGGAAGCTATCAGGGTTATTTACAATGAAAAAGTCTAGCAGCAACCAATACCTTATAGTTCTCCTTTGCCCATTGTTGATACATTTTTTTCATATTCTGCCCATAACAGTAGTAATCTTTATTTCATTCTCTCTCCCATTTGGAAACATGACCTTCTTTAACCCAACAGGTATATCTTAACTATAACAGAATTTCAAATACAGTGGAGGTGGAAGTTATTTTCAGAGAATCCCCTTTCTTCTCCTGGGCAGGATAAGTTATCCTCCTTTATGCCTGAAGTGGTTCTCCCAAAGGATTATATCTCTTTGATTTCACCACCTTTGGTGGCAAAGCTGGCCTGCCCTTTGAGCTGATCAGGTGACATCCATCAGGAGAGAACAGATGAAACGGACTAGTTTGGCAGCAGCTGGCTCAGCACCTGAACAGGCTGGTCCTGAGAGAGATTGATGTTCTCCTGGCGGAAGTCCACAGGGAGAGAACAGGCAGCAACAAGTAACAGTTACATATTTATCATTCATGATATGGATGTCCCAATAACCACTTCAAACTGGAACCAGCTGTTACCAGAATCTTTGTTAAATATAGAATTAAGGAGTCAGATGATAAATTCAGCAGACTTTTAGTTTTTGGAAGGTTTAGTGTAGATTTGTTATTGTTATTTAAAGATTGCTGTACTCTTGAATTATATATATCTGATTCAAATATCTGCACTATAGATACATTTGTTATCATTTAAATCATGCCATCAGTGGCCCTAAAACACTGCAGTGCCAAACATGTATTTTAAAAACTAATCAAGAAATATCAGATTACCTTTCCATGACCTTCCTCTCTTTTATCTGTGAGAGAATTATGTTTACCTATTATCTTTGGTAGCATTGCCTGTACATTGCAGCCTACATTCTCTGGGGCAATTATATACACGTGTTTATAGTACTGTGTAGAGTATTGAGGAAGAAATTGGTCTCTTCTCTCTTTTAGCTCTGTACACTGTGTTACATTACCTTCTGACATCCACAATTCTTTTGAAAAGAGTGCCAATGTGCAGCTGACCTCATGTATAGTGCATGGGGGTGTTCTGATCTGATTTTGATTTACAAATAAGCAGTTGCTTGTGTTGTGGAGTTTTTTCTGTAGATCACTGTATTTTTGTCATAAATATGAGAAAGGAAGGTACTGTGTTGCCTGTATGAATATGAGTATGGCAGAATAATGTGTGCTGCTTCCTGACTGAATCAAAGGAAAGTACTTCTTTCATAAAGTTGATAGTGCAATGGTTATCACTTTCCTTATACCATAAATTTATAGGTTAGTATGCTTGCTTTTGTAACTAAAATGGCATAAGAGTTGGATATCCTCACATCTGGAGAGGGGACTCTGATATTTCAGAGTACAAAAGTTCTGCTCAGTAACCACAACTTTTCTTGCCCCGGTGGGATTAAGGGGCCTGGTGTTAGTTGGATTTGTCTCAGTATGTCTTCAAAAATTGTCTGTGATTTTCCTTCAACTTTTTATTTCCTTATTAATTTTGGAACAACCTCATGTCTTTTCATACAACAAGTGAAAGACTGGTAATTATAAGAGGAAATAGAGACAGCAATGGCAAATAATGCCATTTCATAAGTCTGAGCTTCACAAATTAGTGTGATTACTAAAATAAACCTGTTATTCTCTTTTTCAGAATAAGTTTTACATAGAAACAAAACTCAACCGGGACTTAAGAAATGACCTTATAAAACTGTTTACGGAACATGTTGCAGAAAAGCACATTTACAGCCTGATGCGTAAGTAAACCTTTTTGGTTTCCCTTTTTTCTGAAATGCTATGGTATTTTGATGAGTAATGGGATAATCCATGTTGTGGAATTTCAAAATTGTGTGTCAACATTGATGGGAAAGTGGAATTAGTAGCAGGGCATATTCAAACCTTTGTAAGTGTTCAGAAAGAAACTAAGCACTTTTAAGAAGGTAAACTCACAATTCAATTTAAAGCCAACAGTTGTGAGCTCTGGATAATTAGACTATTTCAGAAAATCCAGTGTAAACAGAGATTCCCCCTTTGTAAAAATGCAGCTGCTGGCTGTGTGATTGACAGCATACAGAACATTTCCATGTAAATGCTAGTGTTTAGTAAAAATGTGAACATAAGTGTGTCCTCCTGATTCAGCCAAAAAGTATGTCTTATCCAATACAACATGTTTCCCACAGAGACCAACCAGGTATTTCTGGAATGTCCCAAATCATGGCAGGTTTGCAGTTTGGGAGTGATCCTGGACTCATCACTGAGCCTGGAACCCCAGGTCTTGGCAGTGGCCAGGGGAGCTTTTGCACAATTAACACTTGTGCGCTAGCTGTGCCCATATCTTGGGAAGTCTGACTTGGCCACGGTAGTTCATGCTGTGGTTACCTCCCGTATAGATTACTGCAATGTGCTCTATGTGGAGTTGCCTTTGAAGACTGTTCAGAAGCTACAATTGGTCCAATGGGTGACAGCCAGGCTGCTCACCGGAGCTGCGTAGAGGGGCATACCACCCCCCTGTTGTGTCAGCTCCAGCTGCTGCCAATCTTCTACCGAGCACAATTCAAAGTGCTAGCTTTAGCCTATAAAGCCTTAAATGGTTCCGGCCCAGCCTATCTGTCCGAATGTATCTTCAGCTATGATAAAGATCATCTGGGGAGAATATGCTCTCGATCACACCTGCTTTGCAGGTGCAGTTGATGGGGGCGAGAGATAGGGCCTTCTCAGTGGTGGCCCCTTGGTTGTGAAACTCCCTAGTGATATCAAAGCAACCCCCCCCCCTCCTAGTGTTTAGAAAGTGAGTCAAAACCTGGCTCTGGGAGCAGGCATTTGGAAAATAGAGCACTGCAGGAATGTTAGTATGGAATCGGTGCAGTTAGATTACGACTCTGGATAACGTGATTCATTGAAATGCATTTTTATTATGCTTATTATGATTTAAGTTTTAACTTACGTTTTAACGGATGTTGTATGTTTTAAGGCACTGTGGAGGTGCGATTATAAGCCTCCTTGAGAAAGGCGGGATATAAATAAGGCAAATAAAGAAATAAACAATATATAATATTTTGTCCAAAATTTTGGGTTCTTAAAAGACTATGCAGTGGGTGCTTACATCATGAATTTCATAGCCAATAAAATGAACACAAGTCCAATAATCTCACAAATAAATGAATTAATTAGCACTGGCTTCTTTCTTTCTCTTTCTTTCTTTCTTTCTTTCTTTCTTTCTTTCTTTCTTTCTTTCTTTCTTGTTAGCACAAGGGATTTATTATCTCATCATTTACTTGTGGTGAATATTTCTATCCGAAGCGTAACTTCTAGGTGTATCTTACGGTTTTACTGAGAATGGTTCATGCTTCTGACACATGAATTAGCAATGGTTTTCAGGCATTTTGGTTTAAAGGTCATTGTTGAAATGTGGTATGCTACTTTTCATTGTAATTGGAAGACTTCAAATGGCAATAATAGAATCTTATTACAGAAACTCCAAGGGTTTTTTGAGATGATCAAAGACTTGGACACTTGTAAAGCGTCCAAGTCTGGTAAAGAAAGGTTTGAGTATTATAAACTTTTCAGTTTCCGACATTATACCTTCTTCTTTCTCAAAGTAGAAGATTTCTTGGTTACCCAATTAAATAGCTTGGGAGTAGGTAGAGCAGAGTTTATAATTAACTTGCAACATTTACTATCACTAGCTAAGTTACATTCATTGGTGTTATATCACATTCATGGTGGATAGAGTTACCAGTGTCAGTTAGCATAATTGCTAAATGAGATATCACTTCGCAGGGTACCTGTTGATTAGTTCCCATGACCCCAAGCAATGTGGGGATGTTGTTTGCAAACTGTTTATTACAGTTTAAGTATCTGCCTGGTTACTATTGAAAGCTTAAGAGAATATTGGCCTGATCTAGCAGGGCTGTTCTTATAAATGTTTCCCAGTTAGATTGCTTTGTATTTACTATTTCTCCTCTGTGGTTGATTTTCATCTCATCTTATCCACCTCTGGGTCTTTTTAAGGTGATGATGAACAAAATTTAGATACGCGTGTAAAAAAAGCCCTCATTCACCCAAGACTCTTGTACAGTTCCCCAAACTTAAAAAAAATCTCTATGCACTGGATAGGTTGCTTCAAAGGGTAGGTGCATAACTGAATTTAGTTACTGTCAGAGTTGAGAAAAGTTCCTTTTTGTATTACAGTTCCCAAACCAATATAGCCATTGGCGATTTGGGAATCAGATATCCAAAAACTAACTTTTCAAATCTCAGGTCTAGGACAGAATGAGTGTGAACCTTAAACACACAGTGCCTTGCAATTCATTCATACCAGGTTAGATTTCCAGATAGTAATATCAGTATTTTTAAAATGACTACCCGCTTTTTTGTCATTGATCAGATTTTTTCTATCTGTGAAACAAATGTCCATCTGTAGGAATAAAAGATGCAGTGTAGATCAGAACAGAGGAAAGGAGAAAAGTTTTGAATTATAAATGCCATTGATCTTTCTCATGATTTCTGAACAGCAGAATGTGTATTTTTCATTCTATGCAGAAGGAGAATGGTTATTTAAACTGCAAAAATTTGAACTACAAAAGGACTGTGAGAAGTAAGAACTGGCACTGCTGCACTGGCAGCCCTGAACTTAGGTCTTCAACTCTGTGACTCATCTAATAATAATAATAACAACAACAACTTTATTTTTATACCCCGCTTCCATCTCCCCGAAGGGACTCGGAATGGCTTACAAAGGGACATGCCCAGCAAATACAGATTAAAACAAACATAGAAATACAGTAAATAGCTAAAAACAATAAAACATCAAATCAGACATCATAAACCAATGTTGTGGCTCAACAACAAAAAGTGAGTTTGGGCTCATAATTCCTAAATGCAGTTATTCCTATGCTGGCCCAAAGGCAAGTGCAGCAAAACAGAAGGCTGGGTTAGGAGGCTAATGCCCTTACATTGTTAAAGTGTTAGAAGTGCTATAAGGGACCAAGCCAAATTGCAGGAGCCTAGATAAGGTTGGAAGCCTCTTTGGTGAGCTGCCTAATCAAAGGCGCAATGGAACAACCAGGTTTTTAACTCCTTGTGGAAACTGGAGATTGTGGAGGCCTGTCTGATCTTCCTTGGGAGAGAATTCCAGAACTGAGGGGCCTCCACAGAGAAGGCCCTTTCCCTCGTTCCTACCAACTGCGCTTGTGATGGCAGTGGAAGCGAGAGAAGAGCCTCACCAGATGATCTTGGAGTACAGTGCTGGTTTGTAGGGGAAGACGAATACAGGCAGATAATTCACATAATGTTGTTTATAATTCCTTCAGATTTAACCATTTAACAGGTTAGCAGTGTCAGACAGAAAGCACAAGAGACCACGTATGTTTTAGTCAAGCTTGATATGTTTTATAACATTTCTGACAGTTATTGTGTTGATTTGGCATGATTCTAACCAGCAAGTTGGCAAAATCACTATCTTCAACATTAGAATGCTGGAAAATGGCAAAGCAAACTCCCATTGAACAAAATAGACTCCAAATAAGAATATTAGATAATAAAAAGATCAGATATATGTAAAAGTCATAATAATTTTTTTAAATGGTGTAACAAAGATAGGGGATTTTTAAAATTCTGATAGAACTGCAAAAGACAGGGAAGAGTTAAGAGACAAATGTGGATCAAGCAATTGGTTGTTATGGTATGGAATGTCACAAAAGATTGCAGAGTGGAAGAAGAAAAAAGGTCCTGAGACAGATTTAGATTAAATATTACAATGGAAAACTTAGAAAGGGAAAGGAATTATGGGATTCGTATATAACAAACTAATAGATAACAAATATAATATGAAACACCCTGTGAGAAGTATGGAAAGAGGAAATCAACTGTAATCAGAAGCGCTTAGAAATGTGGATAAATTCAATAAAAAAACGTAAACATTTAAAGATAAAGAAATGCAAATGAAGTTACTGACAAAATGGTATAGAACCCCCAGGAAATAGCCCATATTACAAAGAACATCTGAAAGCTGGTGGCATGAATGTGGGGAAACTGGAATATTTATTCATATGTGATGGGATTGTGCCAAGGTACAAGACTTCTACAGAAAAATAAAGGGGATGGAGGGGAAATTTCCTAAAAATCTAAAAAATGTGATGGATAAGGAGTTGAAAAAGAAGAAATTAGACAAAATTGGAAGTTGGATGGAACAAATAAAGGAGAAGAGCACCATTAAGGAATTCCTAGGTGAATTAAATATATCATGGCTCCATTGGGTCCAACTGGACCAATGGTTCAAAAATTGGAAAGGAAAGAACTTAGGGGAAAGAGAACCAACGAAATTTGAAAAGATAATATTAAAAGAATTGGCTAAAGAAGAAAATGAGCATCAAAAAGGGACAACAAGTATTATATACAAAATATTAATAGAGATTAAAGGGGAGAGAAAAGGGATACAAATAAGGGAACTATGGGAAGAAGAACTGGGAATAAAAATAGGAGAAAGGAATTGGGAAAAATTATGGAGAGCAAGACACCTCAAGAATTTATCAATTAGGATAAAAGAAAACTACTATAAGATGGTATGGAAATGGTACCTGACCCCGACAAAGATACATAATATGGATAAGAGTTGTTCAGAAAAATGTTGGAGGGGTTGCCAAGAAAGGGGTACGTATATCCACATGTGGTGGCAATGCAAATATGTACAGAGTTTCTGGGGAAAAGTTATAGTAGAAATAGAAAGTATTATGAAGAAAAAAATTAATAGAAATCCAGCGACTATACTGTTATCTATTTACAATACAGATGAATGGAAGGAAAATGAAAAGAATTTGATAACAATGTTGTTAACGGCTGTAAGGCTACTAATAGCAAAATATTGGAAAGGAGAGGTGGAAATTAAGATAGAAGAATGGTACAAGGAAATTTGGAAATTAGCAATAAATGACAAATTAACATGCAATTTAAAGGTTAAAAAAGGCCTAAGGAAGGATAATGATTTTGAAAATATATGGAAAATATTTATTGAGGAAACATTAAGGAAAGAAGACGGGAACCAACCCCCACCAGAAGAAATGAGGTTCTGGTGGGAGTATAAAGAAAAGAAGAACTCCGGAGATGGGGAGCACAAGGGGTAGCACAACTGGGGCAAGGGGAAAAAAAGTAATTATATGAATTATAGAATTTGTTTTTGTAATGAAGGGAATATAAATGTAATAAAATTATTAGGTGTTTAGAAAAAAAAGAGGAGAACAAGTTGAATCGCTGTAAAGAATCTGGCTTAAAGAAAAGAATGAAGTAGTTTTTGTTAAGACTTATACATCTTTATTTCCTACTTTTCTTTCACTATATTGTTCCACCTCTTCTTATGTATATAGCATTTCTTTTGTGGTTAATAAAAAAAATTATATATATAAGAAAAATAAAGGGGGAGATGGAGGAATTATTAGAGCGAGAAATAGGGTTGAATAAGTAACCGTTTTTTTTGCCCTGAAACAGGAAGGGAAAAATGGTAATAAAGATTGGGGTGAGACAACTAACTATATGTTAGCTGCGGCCCAAGCTACAGTTATCCTGGGATGGAAAGAATGTTCAAAATGGGATATACAAAAATGGTATGAATATTTAGCCAATTATATGCTTCAAGATTACTTCATGGATAGGAAAAATAAATATACCAATGAAAACCCTGGGGGGGGGGGGAATGGGAAGGGAAATGGGGGAAACTGATAGCCAAGGCAAAGAATAACAGAAAATATAAGACATTGAACCAGACTATCCTTATGATCCAACAAACAGAATGAACGATAAATGAAATGTATGACTGTTTCTGGAGGGAGGGGGGTGAACGGGAGAGGGAGAGGAGAGGGAAGAAACTATTCTATGTATTTTATTTGCTTGCCATTTTAACTGTTTTTAGTTTCTGAGATATGTCTTAAGCGGCATTGAATCTTGCGACATTGAATTTTGCCAGAGTTTTAAACCACCTTGAGTCCCCCTGCAGCTTTGAGAAAGGCAGGGTACAAATGAAGCAAATAAATAAAAACAAACAAATAGTAGAAAAGGAATTGATACAAGTAGGGGAGATATATCTTATTTATTATTTTGTTAAATCATTAAAACTTCCTCATGTGGAAAGTGGTAATGTTATACTCTTCTTGTTTATCCCAATTTTTTTTTTAAGTTGGCAAAAGTACATGCCATTATCCTGAATGTTGGTTAGGAGACGCTCATATTTTCTGGCTCAAGCCTTTGCAAAAACATCACAAAATGCAGTTGTACTATTCTCCAGTTATTTCATTTTTGAAACAGATATATTGTCACCATATAAGAAGCAGTAATTTTCCAGGCATTTCATGGCATGCCAGAAAGAAGCACCACAGGAATACATACTAGGAGTTAAGCTGTTGTCAGGAGATGGATCATGTGAAGTTCTTCACATTTGCTCAATGATTTTTTAGAATTTTTACAATATATCCTAATGTAACACCTTTAAAACACACCCTACATTTCCCTGGGTATTGTAAAAGCTTTACAGAAGTGTGAGTGTGATGTGAGCCGGTACAGACAGAAAATTAAACTGGTGTCACATGTTGAATTGCCTTAAGCGCAGATTTTCTTTGTTCAGATTCCAGCATTAGTCTTACAGGTCCAGTGTATAGGATGATTGATGTAATAGCACTTACATAAGAACTTGAGTAAAATCTTCATTATGACAGCTTGTGTTTCCATGCCAAATGGAGTGCAGCTTCCATATTTTTTCCAGCCCATTTGGCTGTTCTTTGCTAATAAAGTATCAAACACCTTGAACTTTTCCAGCTTTGTTTTGCTATTACTGTAAAAAGCTACTGTCTTTAAGTAGCTTCTTAAGGTTAAGTATCTAGAGTTCATTATATAAGTATGTATACTGGATTTTCTGTATCTGTGGGCTCCGCACCCATGGTTTGAATCCACTGCAGATTGAAAAATATTCAATACAAAATTAAAATACCAGAAAGTCTTTCCACAACCAGCAAATTCATTGTTGCAGGCACCTGTGTTCTTGTATGGGAAAGAGGCAGCATACCAGTAACCCATGCAAGCCTTTCTGGGGGCTCCCAGAAGCATGTTTGTGTCACTGCCATTTAATAATATCATTCACTTTTTATCCCCATGTTATGTTCATAAATACAGATAGCGAGAATCACAAATGCCTGTGCAAATGCTCTTAATTCACAAGTTGATCCTGACTGCCACTGTGAAGTTAGGTTCATTAGATGTTTAACAGAAATGTATTAAATGTAAATTTACATAACAGTATTGAAAAAGGAGAAATTCAATAAGGAACAAATAGAAGAATCTTTGGTTATGCTGCTGAGTTTTGATAATGCTGATTATGTTTTTCAAGGATATTGGCAATAGCTGTTCCAGTGATAGCCAAGGAAGCAAAATAAGGGGAAAGAAAATCTAGCAGTAGTAAATAAACTTAAACTTAAATGTCAGTCACTTTTTATGTAGAATGAATATGTTGTATGGATATTAAGACTGTTTCAAAGGTCAAGGATATCACTGCCTTCCTCTTGAATTGCAGGCTGTGTTTTTTTTCTCCTTTTTGGCATATATAGTTGGATAAAGCAGCTCTTCCTGTTTTGCTCCTCAATTTTTATTTCATGTCAGAAAAGAAAAAAAATGCATTCATCTCTTTCTTAATGAGACTGTTTATACCTTTGAAGGATAGCTCATTTTCTCATTGGAAACATTATATTTCATTGATGTAGAAGACACTAAAACTGGTATGGCTTGCTGCATTTGTCACTATGCCATTTAAATATTTTGTTGAGTATGTTGGGCATTATACTACGCTCCCCTTTTGGCAGCTCTGGAGAAGCTCTGAAACCTTAGACAAACTAAAACTCCCCCGATTTTGTCTGGTGGATATATCAGTATTTACCTCTTTCTTCATGGAGATACAACAAATAGTCTATTATAAAAGCTGATAGTAGCCTTGCATTAATGTTGGACACAACTTTGTGATTACTGTTCTTAGCATTGATAGCATAGCATCAGTGTAAACACTTTGCAATGGTGGAGTTTAAGTTAGGAGACATCACTTAAAGGTGCAATTGTAAAATTGACAAAGAACATTTTTTGTTGCCATAGAGTATCACAAGAATGTTTATGATAGCTATTTTTAACGTTATTTCATAAATAGAAAATGCATTCAGATTATTTAAAAAGTGCCTCTTGACTTCATGTTCATATGTAGATAGATTGAAATGTATTTTTAAATTGATGAATCATATTGATTTTACAGTGAATTGCTTTAAAATAATAAAACTCTGAATCATTGTTCTGCAGCTTTGAAGATGGTAATTGTGATGTAGACTATGACAAACCAAGTTTATGAGATGAGTTTTCCTAAGAACCCTTGGTTCTCATGGTTCTCACATAACCATATTTTCAGAGGCCACTGACAAGACACATTTACAATATATTAAATATATTAAAATGAATTAGTTAGCAGTGGTGCTGTGCATATATGTTTTTCTTTTTCTATAGTGGTGGAGGTAAAAAGTATTGAAGATTTAGGGGAGAAGTACCAATACTTCTGATGCACAGGAGTCACTCAGATTTAAAATATTTTGCGTAGGCTGGCCTTTTGTATAAAGAAGAACAGGCAAACCCATTAATGTGGATAATTATTTTGAAAATAATACATCCTCTGCAGCATGAAACATCCCTCCAAACCAAACTAGCATTCAGAAAGGTATATGTTTTAAATGTTTCAAAGATCTTCTACCCTGAGTTGTTTGAGGTCAGGTAAAGCCATTTGACAAACTTGTAGGTTTTTGCTTTTGCTTCCATTAATATACATTTCAGACAATTCATTCTTTAATAAAAACAATGTTTGATGTAGAATTAATCTTTGATGAGTTTCTTTTCATTTCAGCTTTACTTTTAGAAGCCCAATCCACACCTTTCTGGATAAACCCTTCCACCATGGCAAATGTTGTCAAAGGATTGTATATGCTAAGACCAGGTAAATTAAATTTTTTTAGAATGATGGTTGGTTTCTGTAAACTTACACTTCTTGTGTCAGCTTCTTCAGTGCATTGCACGGTGGAATGCCAGTTGAATGTCGTAACTAGGTTCCTGCCTTTCTTGTAAAACTTTACCCATAATAAATTTCTCAATGATATCAGATAGAAACTGCAAGCTCAACTGCTGATGCAACATAATTTAATATTTGGACCTTTGTCCCAGTTAATTTTTGAGGCTGGCATTGAACAGCAGCCCAAGTGTGGGAAGGTCTTGTAACATTCTTCATTTTGGTTCCTCAAGCTCACCTATGAAGTGCCTATACAGACTTCTTGTTATGGTTCAGTATACACAAGCTTTGTTTCACGCACAAAGTGTTACAAATATTGTATAAAATTGCATTTCGGCTATATGTATAAGGTGTATGTGAAACATAAATTAATTGCATGCTTAGACTTGGGTTCCACTCCTAGGTATCTCATTATGTATGTAAACGCAAATATATAGATATTGCAAAATCCAAAATACTTCTGGTCCCAAGCATTTTGGATAAGGGATACTCAATCTATACATTCTTACAGTTGGTAGATCAATAAACAATTGCTTACTGCTTTTCAGTACTTGTTTGTAGAATCAGAATATCTGCAAAATCTAGCATCTTCATTCAGCCCTTTCTGTGATAGAGATGAGGAATATGCAACTCTTTTGGTGTTGTTATGCTATAGCTCTCATTGTCTCCCATTTTTGGCAATGCTGCATACAGTAGATGAGGACAGCAGTCCCAACAACACCTGAAGGCCACACATTTCCTCATCTTTGCTTTCCTTTCAGCTCCTTTGACAACTGTATTATTTGGACATACCTACATACTAGGATGAACTAGAAGACAGGTATCTGTGTTTGTGGCAGTCCCGTCGGACCATCTGTTTAGCTAGATACAGGACCTTTGTAAAGAGGTCAAGTGCAATTACTAGGTGATATGGCAAACGTGGTGCATTTGTTATGTTTACTATCGTGATACATGGCCGAAAAGCACCTATATGCCATCTTGCTCCTTATGGGTTTATTATTTCATTAAATTAAGCAGTCTGCAGTATTTTACCAGATGAAGGATAATCTTGTATACCATTGCATTTGGTACATAGCAAGACTAAGTATGAGCTCTATAAATATAATACCTAAGCTTGTTGTTTGGCTTCTATATATCTTCTGTGTAATATAGTGACTACTAAAGTGTGAATGGGTGAGAAAGAGAGAGAGGGAACGAGTGCACAGGGGAGAAACGGGACATATTTTTAAATTGATTTTGTTTTACTGGCTATTTCTTTCCAGAATGGGTTCAGATGGCACCAGCTTTATTTTCTAAATTTATCCCAAACATCCTCCCTCCTGCTGTAGAATCTGAGCTTGAAGAATATGCTGCTCAAGACCAGAAACTTCAACAAGAGCTTATTCAGGAAGGATTTTCCAGGTAACAGCCTTTATGTTTAAAAATTGTGACCAGGTTATCCAGTATATGCATCTAATTATACACTGCACACCACAAATCCATCAGTGTATCTGGTCAATTATTACAAGTAAACTCTGGAAGGCATTAGGGAGTGAAGCTGGGTTAATAATCAATTCTTGATAAGTGGGGTGTGTTGTGATTGTGCTCTCTCAATTGAAAAGGTTGCGTTGACTCAGAACAAAGTAGAAAACCAGGAGAAATATTTTTTTTTAATATCTTACATTTTGATAAGTTTGTGTTGTGAGACTGTTTGTGAACAAATGACTTCCCCTAAAATTCTGTCTTCTTTCTTATAGACTGTTTGGTCCTTAAGACAATCTGTAGAGGCTCTTGTGGCACCATAAACTTCTGAGCTCTGTTTCCAAGTCTTTGGAGCAGGACAGTGCTTTCTTTCTGTAAACTAGTTCATTTCAAAATGTCATAGCATTATCTCTATATGAACAAGGAAATTTGGACGAGCCTTTTTTATTACTAGGAATTTCTGAGATTTACTTTGTCAGGTGTGAAACAGAAACAGAAAACTTATGATCATGAAAAAGCCCGAATTGCTTACAATAACTTAATTGATACCAAAGAGTTTTTTTTTGGGGGGGGGGGGTAAATTTACCAGACTTAAAAACTTACTATGAAGCTTCCTGCATGAGCTGGCTTAGAGATTGGAAACAACTCAAGAATGTAAATTTACTTAATCTAGAAGGACATGGACTAAGATTGGGTGGCAAGAATACCTATGGTATGAAGGAGAGAGATTAAAGAAGGCTTTTAACAAACATATAAATAAAGCAAGCCTCATAGATGTCTAGAACAGGTACAGGTACAAGGCATGGATGTGAAAACACCCTTGTGGCTGAGAGCAATGGAAGCTATTGTGAGATCCATTTCCAAGGATGATATAAGGACATATGGGGAATTACTTATCAGATTTAACAGCCAATGGACACTGAGGGGGAAGAGGAATTGGGTATCAAAAATTGTTTTAATTTATTGATGTTAGGTTCTAATGTTGTTTTCATATGTGAGGTTTTTCTGCGGTTATTACGTTTATTCTACGGAGGCATTGAGTATTTGCCCTAGTATGTTGGAATCACCCTGGGTCCCCCTGGGGAGATAGGGTGAAATATAAATAAAGTTATTATTATTATTATTATTATTATTATTATTATTATTATTATTATTATTATATAGTCTATGACAAGGCGGGGAATGCAAGCCATGAATGTATGGGTCTCAGTGCCTGACTTTGCATTCCCACTGCCCCATGCCACTAAAATTCCTCCAGAATATAGGGATACTATGGAATTGGAAAAAGTTATGTAGAGAAAGAGATTCAGGGCACACTAAAATTGTTTTAAAGCGTAGTTAAGCGGTGTTTTAAAACAAAATAAGTAAAAGGTAAAGGTTTCCCCTGACATTGAGTCTAGTTGTGTCTGACTTTGGGGGTGGTGCTCATATCCATTTCTAAGCATATCTGATGGGAGAATTTTATAAATAAAAACAAGAGGAATGTATTGATCTAGAAGTATAGAGTGTTAACTAAAATGTACATAAATTCTGCGAGGATTAGCGATGGAAGCCAAGGTGGTGGGTTGCACTAGGGGCAGGATGAGGGGTTATTGTACTGTGGGTGGCGGGGTGTATGTGTATGTGTACATGTTTGGTATGTGTATTGTGGGTGTATTATAATTTTAAAATAAGAATTTATTTTAAAAGAAAATTCATTAGAGATCTTGAGTGTTATTGAGGAGCAGATTGAAATTGTAATTGTTTGTGTTTTGTTGTCACATTTTGTTCCTTACCGCCGTGGTTTCATTCATATGATTTCAGTTTTTGACCAGAAAAGTAGATTTTTTTTCTCTTTCTTCTAATATCCACCTGAAAAGACTAACTTTTAACCTTCCAGCTTGTAAGTTGACATGTAGGCATTTTCCTTGCCAGTAAAAAGACTTTAATATACAGGGTGTCCATAAAATCTCTTTAATGGAACAGAGCACAGCAGTATGCCATTTAAATCTCTAAATGGTAGAGAGACTATATGAAGATCCAGTATAGCTAATCACTTCAACATCAAATTCTGATTAAACAATTGCCTCATCCTACTTCAGAATTTTAAATTGCTTTTCCCTGGTGACTCTTGATAAATTAAGCCTTGAAGATGTGATTTAGCCCTGGCAGTGTTCCAGAAGGATAACTGACTGGCAGTTCTACAGCTCACGTGTAATAAAATATAGTTTAAACTGGGATGTGCTGTTTTGTTAAAAGAATAATAGTTTTTAAATATAGAGTGGAAAGCAATAGTTATATTTTTGATAGCATTTATTTCAGTAGCTTACCAGTGTGATTTAAAGGACGGTTAAAACCTTTATGAATAGAGTAAACTAGAGAAATGTCATGACACTTATTTGGCACCTGAAGCGGAAGTGCCAAATGAATTTCTCCATCACGATGAAAAAGTAATTGAGATAACTGGCAATTTGGTACTCTTTTGCACTGTATCAAAGCTAGTTACTAGAAGAAAACCATTGCCCCCACTGTGCTTCATGGTGGGGCAAGGCCTTGAATTTTCTAAGACTAAATTTGAGGGTACACTAAATACGTATTTAGCTTGTGTCATTCTAAATGAAACAACACAATCCGCATCAGGAGTCTTAACCATATGCTTAATTCTGTGATCCCTGTAGTATTATCATCTTCCAAAAATTGTAATTCTACAGAAATTACATTCTGCCACCCATGTAATGAAAACAAATTGACCCTAATTATTAATACATAATAAATGCTTTCTTTGGAACACTTGCATATTTTTTCTTCAAATGACACATGGATATTATTATTATTAAAAACAGTCTCATCAACATTTCTTTTGAAATCTAGGTTGACATTGGACTTCATGTTACTTTAAATCTCTTTTTTTCCCCTAGAGGTGACCAATCACGTAAAAGAGCTGGAGAAGAATTAACCTACAGTAAGTGGCTTAAACTGTTTTATTAATGCTGATATACTGTGCTTTCATAACAAGAATATAATTTTTGAATTGTTACAGAGAAAAAGTTAGGCCTTTGGGCTGTAGCAGTGTCTGCAGAACCAGACATGTATATCATGAATTAGGTTTGAACTAGAAACGTAGAGAGATCAGATGCATAGTTTTCTAAGGTAGCATTTTGCTCCACATCACTAATCGTGTGAGACTATAACACTTTAGACATGGGATGTGCCTTTTCTTAGAAAGAACTTGGGCATGATCAAGACATTATTCAGGGAGTTTCATGCTTAATATGGTATTTTCAGGTGAACAGATGTCCTATATTGTATGTACATATAACTTGTAAGCCACTCTGAGTCCCCTTCGGGGTGAGATGTAAATGTCTTAGATAAATAGGCTTAGATATATCAAAGTGACTAAGAAGGTCTGTTGTACAGAATAGTTCAGTGGATTGTTTTTCACGTCTCTGTCCGTGAATAGGTGCAATGCTGTCTTTTTTCTTAAAGAGATAAAATTCAAAGTGAGGGGAAATTTTTCTTAAAGAGATAAAATTCAAAGTGAGGGGAAATTTCAATAATTTCTTTTTGCTTTTTCAGATGGTTCAGCCTCATGTGCAAACTCAAGAGGATGCAGATAGTGACTGTCCTAGAAGCATTATATTCTTGATAGGAATGGACACCGGAATGGCATTGAATGGAAAGGTATCTCGAGGCTCAGTTGAGTCCTGCTGGTACTCAAGTTCTCCGGTGCAAAGCTATAACCGAAGAGGAGCTTGGACGTATTTCTTACTACGTAATAAAATGTCTGTTCGCTGCTATTGTGGGGGCTAACTTGGAACAATGTGGCTGATCTTGAAGAGTTCTTCTTTGGCAATCCTGTGAAGAATATACATTTTTTTTTTCATTTTCCTTTTTCTTTTAAAGATCACTGTTTACTAGACCTTGATAGAAAAAAAGAGCAGCTTCCTCTGAAATGAACATTTGCACTATTTGAAAAAAAAAAAACACACACGTGGACATTGCTGAGTGCCCATTTAGTGGTCCAAACATTTTGTTCAGTAAATATTGACCACCTAACAGTATTTATTTTCACAAAAGTTTGCCTCTAAAAGCCACTCTCATGCAGCTGCTCCTTTATATGAGTGAGCTTATACATAGTTCACATCATTCATCCATTGAGCTCCCTGTACATTCGAGGCCACAGAAATGTCTCTTAACCTGCTATATAATTAAACATCACAGAAAAGTTACAGCATTTTCCTGTGTACATTTAGCTTTTGGAGAATAAGCCTGGGAAAGATGTACTTCTTCCTCATTTGCTTTCCTGTGAGAAGAAATAACACAAATATAAAGGTTGCTTGTATGTTGCTACTGCCTTCAATAATACTTGCAAAGAATTAAAGATAATTCCATTCCAACGTTCTGAGTTGAAATGGTAGTGCCTAACAATTGAAGGATCTTGCAGGCCAGGTTGTCCATTTCTGTGTACTTTGTTTTCATTTTGGCAGCACATGGAAATGCTTGTTCTGATTTAAAATAATCAACTTGTTGAATATCTCACTGTTGGACTGTTACAATAGACTTAAAAGAGTGTGGCCGAAACACTCTTTGTATTTCTGGCTTATTTCTGGGCAGCAAAGTACTTGAAGTCAATTTAACACATTGTTTGCTTCTATCTTTTTGGAAGAAAGTGGTGGGGATTTCAGTATGATTTACACATAAAAGATCTTTCAGTATCAGCTCTGTTGGATAAAGCTTGAATTTAAGATTTTAACAAACTGCAGTAATTTGCACTGCATTATAGGTATTATTGATGTATCTATAATACGTAACTCACAAGGGAAAACTGGATCGCTGCTTTCTCTTTCTGGGTTTGGATTAGAGGCTAATTACAAGGTGCTGTTTGCATCCAAACCCCATATTCTGTGAAGAATCACTATGTATGCAGGGCAGGAGTAGGCAACAATGGCCTTCCAGATGTTTTTGACCTGCAGCTCCCATAGTTGTCTTTGGTAGCCAGATTGATGAGGTTTGTAGATCCAAAACATTTTGGAGGATCACATTTGTCAACGGTTGATATACATGATGTGATTTTACATAGAAAGGGGGAGAATGGTTCCATAGCAGCAAAGATAAATGTGGATTAATTTGTGACTGAGCCAACAAAGCTGAACGGGATGCAGGTGCCAAGAGAAGAGAAGTGAGACTTTGATGTGAGCACAATGTCCAGCTAATTCTCTAGAGAGGAAATCTTTTGTGCTTTTGGTTTTCCATCTATATAATCTGAACAAGTAAACTAATTTTCCCACTGCTAGGTACTGATCACAGTTTGATTGTGTTGGCTACCCTGCATAATTTAAAAATTCATAGAGTAAGACTCCTGAAATGCAATAGTCTATGACAAGGTGGGGAATGCAGGCCATGCATGTATGGGTCTCTGCCTGGTTTTGCATTCCCACTGCCCCATGCCACTAAAATTCCTCCAGAATATAGGGATACTGTGGAACTGGAAAAAGCCACATACAGCAAGAGATGCAAGGCATACTGATACTGTTTTCAAACACAGTCATTGGTGTTTTAAAACAAGATAGTAAAAGTTTCCCCTGACATTAAGTCTAGCCATGTCCGACTCTAGAGGGTGGTGCTCATCTCCATTTCTAAGCCGAAGAGCCGGTGTTTTCTGTAGACACCTCCAAGGGCATGTGGTCAGCACAGAGTGCCGTTAGCTTCCTGCCAAAGCAGTACCTATTGATCTACTCACATTTGCATGTTTTTGAACTGCTAGGTAGCAGAAGCTGGGCCTAACAGCGGGAGCTCACTCCGCTCTCCAGGATTTGAACCACCAGTTCAGCAGCTCAGCAGTTTAACCTGCTGTGCCACCAGGGGGCCCATTTAAAACAAGATATTTTACATTGTCCTTAAAGAGAAATGCAACTTTGTCTTGCTTCTGAAAGGAGTATTGCTCAAGGTCCCATGAAAGTTCCCCAGACTTGGATTATGCTGTTGAGAGCGTCATTTCAAACAACCACAAATATCCCATTAAATTTCTGATTTTTACTTTATTTTTCTTTTAGAAATATTTGACCATCTAAGGCCAATTTCAGTGTCATTCTTAGATGTTTCATTCTTATAGAGATGGATAGTTTTTGAAAAACTGGTTTGATTTTGCCAGAGGAGCAAAAAAAGTTAAAATCATTTTTATATTTAAACTATTTTTAATTGGCGGAGAATTGTATTCTTTATTGGTAAGAAAAACACTGCTACACTGAAAATACATTTGTAGCTACAGTAAGAAAAAGCCTTTCCAATTTTTCCAACTGTTTCCTCTTTTGATGTAGAAATACACTCTCCTCTGTTTTACTAAATTAGTTGAGAATTCCCTATACAAGCAGAAATGAGGTCTACATAGAAAAGGAATATCCAAATCTCAAATATTGAAATGGCTATCTGGGTTACCCATGGCAAGGAGAATACACATTCCTGTGTTAATGTATGGATATATCCATATTGCTATCATTGCCATTCACATTGGTTCATCAGTATAGATTTGTAAGCGAAATCTGGATGGAGAAAAGGTTTAGTATGTACCAAACATACACTGAGGCTAACTTTTAAACAACTGTGGTATCTTTTGGAGTTTAAAATATTAACAAAGTTTGGGTTTTTTAAAAATATATGAAAGACGGGTAGTTTGCTTTTTTCATGTCAGGAGTGACTTGAGAAACTGCAAGTCGCTTCTGGTGTGAGAGAATTGGCCATCTGCAAGGACGTTGCCCAGGGGATGCCCAGATGTTTTACCATCCTGTGGGAGGCTTCTCTCATGTCCCTGCCTGGGGAGCTAGAGCTGACAGAGCGAGCTCAACCCGCTCTACTTGGATTCGAACCACTGACCTATCAGTGAGAAGTCCTGCTGGCACAAGGGTTTAACCCATTGCACCACCAGGGGTTCTGGGTAGTTTGCTACATCCATATGATTTCTTTCACTGCAGAATTCTCCCTAGATTCCTTCCTTGCAGCCTTTAGCTAATAAGGCAGAAGATGGCTACTGCTTCACTCTCTGGAACATATTATGGATTGAACAGTCGCCCCACAAGCATTGGGGCACTTGGGTATGTCTACAAAGAAGAAATCGTTGTCTTCCCCATTAATGTAAACCCAACACTGATAGATAACTGCTTACTATCTTGTTAGTCACTTTATGATCGGTTGCTGTAAGTTTTTCGGGCTGTATGGACATGTTCCAGAAGCATTCTCTCCTGACTTTTCGCCTGCATCTATGCCAGGCATCCTCAAGGGTCGTGAAGTCTCACAAACTCTTGAGGATGCCTCCCATAGATGCAGGTGAAACGTCAGGAGAGAATGCTTCTGGAAAATGCCCATACAGCCTGAAAAACTTACAGCAAACTAGTGATTTCGGCCATGAAAGCCTTTGACAACACACTTTATGGTAGTTACAAGGTTTGATTCCTCACTCTAATCCAATCCCAGTTTCCTTTAGAATATACTGATATACCGATGGGCAGATCAAGGCCTCATTTTTTTACTGTCTTTCTGATCTAGAGAGTCGAAAGCAAACCAATTAAAGCATGTAAAAGATTCTTTCTGTGTATTAGCATGCCCTGGCAGTGAAATCACTGTCTTCCCAGATAAGCTATTCCCGTTTCACACCTTGTGGCATTCATATATCTATACCATGATACCTAGATGGTAATGGCTGCATAGCCATCAAATTAACCTCCTGGCACACCTTGGTCTAGTCTGGGCCTGATTATCTTTGGGAAAAGTTTAATTTGGATTGATTTCCGACTATGTTGATATAGGTTAGAATCAGATTCCCATCAAATATTTTCTTGTCATAACGACCGCAATGAAGCTGATGGGATAGAATTAGAATAAAAAATAAAAGCACCCTGGATTTCTAGTTATATGCACATTTTATTATGTACTTGTTAAATCTTTTAAAAATCTTTCACTTTTGGGATAGAGAATTTATTCGTCCCAGAGGTACTACAACTCCCATGGGCCCTAATCAGCATAGCCAATTGTTAAGAGGGATAATAGTTGTGATCCTACAACATTCGCAGGGCTTCGCATTTATTAACTCAGTTGTGGCTTGGAGAACACGCACATTCTTTTTCTACCAATGTTTTTATTTGTGTCATTGAAAGTTGAGCCATAGGACATAACAATCCTCTATGATTTTAGGACAAAGCATTCCTTTGATGTGGTCCATGTTCTACACATCCTTTCAGAAATGTTTTTAGCTGTATGTAGCAACTTGCCTGAACAGGAAGCTTGAGAACTTATTGTACAAAATAAAATAAAAAATAAAAAATGATGTATTATGTTGTAAATTACTATTAAGATTTCTGTATGTTTTGGCATCTCATGCTGAAATCATTTGTTTTCCTATCCTCAAAGGGTTTTATCTTTGTGAACGGAGTATGAACAAATGCAACAAGAAATACGGAATAATGGTTGCTTTGTAAACAAATTTCCTTACAATTTGGTGGATTAGTGTATTCAGTCTCTGGAGCCTTGACTTTTACCTACCACTTGTGTGTACGTATGTGTTTTCCACATGAGACCTAAATGGCAAAGTTTTATGCATTGGGTGTCATCTTATATATCAAATTTGTTTCCTGGGAAACTTGCTCTATTAAAGTATTTTTAGATAAATGCCTTGGTTTTGAATTTGCCATTTTTACCTAGCATCCACTCGTCGTGCAGGACTGCATAACCGAGAGAAAGCCTTATGGGATTGGCATGGAATTTGGTCAATTCATTTCTAAACTAAAATCCAAGAATTTCTAAGGAGGGTTGATACTATTTGGGCGAGGGAGATGTGTCTACTGATCTAGCATGATGCTGATCAAATTACCCTAAGTTTACAGTACTAGTCCTCCTTTACTCATATCTAAATACTAGGGGTGTGCAAAATTTCATACCTAATTCATAAGTTTTATATACATGAACAGATATTAAGAAACACGGGGAGAGGGATGTACTCACGGAAAAACTTAAGAATTAAAACTTACCCAATATTTTTTTGTTTGAATTTTGTAAAGTTTGGAAGCCTATCAAAGTCAGTTTCATTTTCATCGCAAGCAAGGGAAGCCAAAAAGGCTGCCAGTATGCCTTAAATTAATGGTCGCTTGCCATGAGGAGAGAAAAGCAGCAGGGCGGGACTAGCTGAGTGAGCTGGGAAAAAGAGCACAGAATTCTGGGAAATGTAGTTTGGGAAGGCGAGGAGCCCTGTGGCAGAGAATTCAAAAGGCCTTGCCCTAAACTACATTTCCCAGAATTCTGCTCAGCATCAGAAAACTCCAATTACAGTAGACCTCACAGCCTCTGAGGATGCCTGCCACAGATGCAGGCGAAACTTCAGGAGAGAATGATTCTAGAACATGGTCATACAGCCTGAAAAACCTACAACAACCCAGTGATTCCAGCCATGACAGGCTTCAACAATACAATAGAGAGTTTTTTCCATCCTAGCAGAAGCCAGATTTCCAATAAATTGTTGACTCTGTAAAGAGGAGAACTGACTGATATTTCAATACAAGTAAGTGAATCAGTGCTGGGCTGGGAAGAAATCTCTAATTTGTTCTATTGGTTGATATGAGAGACATTCAATGAGATAGCTGCTGTTAGTTTTTTTAAATGACATTTTTTGTCAAAGCTTTTTAAAAAAATCCCCAAAATCAGTAGGTATGAATATTTCTGAAACCTGAGGGGAATGATCCCTGTTAACTTGTGTCATTGTATAGAAAATTCAAGGAGATAGCTCTTGTAGGTGTTTTTAAAATGATGTTCGTAAAAACTTTGAAAATTCCCCCTAAATCTGTGGATGAGTGAAATGTTCTGAAACTTGATGGGCTAGCGGTGGTCAAGGTCTTCTATAAACTTAGCAAGTTTCATGCCAATAGTTCTAACAATGAGGGAGAAAAGTGCCTCTGATGTTTCCGCATTGCCACAATTAATTACTTAACAAAAAGTAACGAAAATGTAATTAAATCGTAGTTTCAATACAAACCTCATCCAATTTCGGAGACATTTTAGAAACAATTTCCCCACTCCCTTATTTCATAATGAGTACTGAAACCTTTTTAAAAAAATAATCTTTATTGAGAATTTTCAGTTAAAATTAGAAAAAAGGAAAAAGAAGGGAAAAATGAGTATTGAAACATTTTTGCATTGATTGCACAGTTCTAAATACAAACATTGCACAGGGCTGATACAGGTTTTTTATCTTGTTCAGACTGTCTGCTTCATTCAGTGGCATGTAAGCCAATTCTCAGCATTACACTATTACTTAAAAATTGGGACATTTAATCACCTACCAGCAGGCTTCTGAGCATGA